TGCTTTACTTGGCAGCGATTGGATCTACACCAACAAATGTGTGCCTTCCTCTCTACATCAAAAAATAATGATGGCCTTATGCAATGAAGAGACAGAAGAGATCAACGCAAACCCTCAACCCTTTATTGCTTGTGCTGACTTTGCAGAGACCAAGTTATATACTGAAGAAGTGACACCACTCAGTATATTGAGAAAATCTGATGGAACAGCCGAAGTGACGGCTGATGAGGAAGTAGCACACCTGAAGCACTTAGTGTAGGAGAGTGTTGATAAAGAGTTCGTCACTAAGGATGACAATGATGCTTGGTTGTAGGCAAGAAGATGAGACCCAAGAAGCCAGACCCTTGGCCTTGGTCAAGTTTTCAGTATTGGACATAAAGTCAATAGTCCAGAAGGTTCAGAAACAAGAAAGGGAAGCCATGGTGGTTGGCTATAATCAGGAGCAACAAAAGGCCAGGCCTTTGGCCCTTGATAAGTATTGTACATTGGACATCGAAACAAAAGTTCAGAAAATACAAAAAGAAGAAGCCTTATGGATAGATTTTGTCTATGAGGAAGAAGGCAAAGATGTTAAACCAGAGAAGGTGGGAGCAGAACAAAACGAAAAAGTTGCTTCGAAGACAAAAGAAGTCAAAGGAGAAGCATTAGTAGGTGCTCAAGTACAAGACCCCTTGAAAGAAGTCAATTTAGGAGAAGGTTCTGCTCATCAACCCACTTATATTAGTGGTTGGTTAAGTTCTCTTGACAGGAACCAGTTGTTGGTAGTCGTAAAGAAATATAAGGATTGTTTTGCGTGGTCTTATAGTGAACTACTAGGATTGGATAGGTCATTAGTGGAACATAGGCTCTAGGGGTGAGCAGCGGATATGCCGATCCGCCAAAACTGACCGAACCGAACCGATCCGTTGCATTTTGGACGGATGCGTGATGACGAGCGAACGGTTGCGGATTGATTTTCTCCAATCCGCCAATTTGGCGGACGGATAACGGATTTGAGGTCCCTTTGGCTGCAACCAAACCGCGAGCACCCTTAATAATTTATAAGATTTTGTGTTTTCAATTTGTTTAAATATTTTGCTTTTATTTTCAATTGAAAAATAATTTAAATACTCTGTTGAAAAAAAGTTTTCAACTTGAATATATTTTTTGAATTGAAAAAAATAAACGTATTATTTATTTATATTTTTTGATTTTTAAATCTAACTCTAAAAGTAATAAATAGAAAATACGATATATGCTGATTGGTTTTTGTTTTCAAAAATATATATAAATGTAACAATACAAAGACATACAATCTCTACAACTGCTCTGTTCATGGTTTTGGCGGTTTGAATTGTTTTTATGTTTTAAGAACCACATATTGTAATACTTTATGTGGATAAGGCATGCTGTGATTGTAATATGTGGATGAGGCATGCAGTGATTTTGATATTCTAAAGTTTCAAACTTTCTTTCTTTGGATGAGGCATGCAGTAATTGTAATAACTTTTAAGTCATTGACTGTAATATATATATATATTTTTTTTCAGGAAGTGCACAAGTTGAACTATGTTGAAAATTTATAAAATTTCAAACCGCCAAACCGATTCGCATCCACCCGCCAAACTGCCAAACCGCTCAATCCACATCCGCCGGATTGGCAGACGGATGCAGATTGATTTTCTCAAATCCGCCAATCTGGCAGACGGATGGCAGATTGGAGGTTCCGTGGCCGCAATCGACCCGCGCCCACCCCTAATAGGCTCCCTATGAAGCCTAACTTCAAACCACACAAACAGAAACCAAGACGGATGAGCCCTGAAGTGGTTCAGAAAGTGAAAGAGAAAATTCTCAGACTCCTTAAAGCAAGCTTCATTAGAACAGCCAGGTATGTTGAATAGTTGTCTAACATTGTGCCTGTCGTTAAAAAGAATGGCAAGATGAAGGTATGCATCGATTTTAGAAATCTGAATTTGACAACTCCAAAAGATGAATACCCCATGCCTATAGTGGATCTATTAGTAGATAGTTCAGTAGGGCACAAGATTTTGTCTATGATAGATGGACATTCTGGTTACAACCAGATCTGCAGTACAGAGGAGGATGTCCACAAAACAGCATTCAGATGTCCTGAGAATATTGGCACTTTTGAATGGGTAAAAATGCCATTTGGTCTAAAGAATGCTAGAACAACATATCAGAGGGCAATGAATACCATCTTTCATGATCTTATTGGAGGATAGCTAGAGTGTTACATTGATGATATTGTTGTAAAGTCCCAGTCTATGGAGGAACACTTGGTTCACTTGGTAGCAGCTTTCAAAACAATGAGAAAGTTCAAGTTAAAGCTTAATCTTCTCAAATGTGCTTTTGGTGTATCAGCTGGAAACTTTTTGGGGTATGTAGTGCATAAGAAGGGAATAAAGATTGATAAGAATAAAGCCAAAGCTATCATTGAGGTCAAACCTCCATCAAGTAAGAAAGAAGCATAAAAGTTCCTTAGTTAGGTTAATTTTCTTTGAAGATTTATTTCTAACACTACAGAGATAACTAAAATATTTTCTTCTTTATTAAAGTTGAAAGATGAAGAGGAGTTTGTGTAGACAGCAGAGCATCAAACTGTTTTTGAAGGAATTAAAGTCTACTTGACCAAGCCTTCAGTGTTGATGTCACTAAGGAGCGACAAGCCCTTGAAGTTATACATTGCTGCAGCAAAAGATTCACTGGGAGTTTTCCTAACCCAGGACAATGAAGAAGGCAATGAGCAAGCAGTTTATTACCTAAGTAGGTTTTTAGATTCTTGTGAATGTAAATACTTAGCTGTAGAAAAGTTGTGCCTTGCATTGTACTTTGTAGCAATGAAATTAAGATATTATCTTTTGCCTACTGTTGTCTTAGTAATTGCAACCACCGACTTGGTTAAGTACATGTTATCTAGACCTATGTTGAGAGGAAGAATTGACAAATGAATATTAGCTTTATCAGAATTTCATCTTGAATATGTCCTCCAAAAGGCAGTAAAAGGACAAGTTTTGGCTAACTTCTTGGCAGATCATCCATACCAAACAGAAAGCCAGGAGATAATAGATCTTGGTATGGTCAATGTTGAGCCATGGCAGATGTGGTTTGACAGATCAAAGGCCAATGGCCTTATTGGAATTGGTGTCGTAATTAAGTCACCACAGGGGGTAGAAACCACACATGATTTCAGGGTTGATGAAACCACTTGTTCCAATAATCAAGCTGAATATGAAGCTTTAATAATGGGATTGGAAATGCTTATTGGATTACAAGCTCATGCAGTTGAGATATTTGGAGATTCTCAATTGGTGGTCAACCAAGTGAAAGGAATTTTCAAATGTCAAAGTGCAAGCATGTTGCCATATTATGTTGTTGCATTACATTTGCTTTCTCAGTTTCAGATAACAGATGCGACTTATATCCCAAGGTTCATGAATAACAAAGCCAATGATGTAGCTGAAAAGACTTTGAATTTCAAAATGAGGGATGACACTGAATTGAACATAAATCAAGCAACATATAAAAAATTAATACCACATTTAGCTAAAAGGGATGTTGTGTTTGAAGTCAACCATAATGGCCCCGTTTGGTGTAGCTGTTAAAACAGTTTATAAATTATAACTTAACAGATTATAGATTATGACTTTAATCAGAAGTTGTTAATCTGTTTGGTGTAGCTGTTGGATTATAGATTTAAGTTGCTGAGTAGTGTTTGTTAAATAAGCTGTGAAATAGCTTTTTCAATTAATTTTTATTTTTTGTTTGTCTACATTTCTCATAAAAAATAATAATAATAATCTATAGTCCATTTGAGTCTTTTTCTATTTTTAAAAAAATAAAAAATAAAAAAATTTAAGAGTATAACCATAAATTAACATGTCCACAGCAGAAGCTGATAATCAGAAGCAAGGGGTGAGCAGCTTCTCAGAATCAGCTTTTTTGAGTTAAAATAAGCTGTTAGAATCAGAAACTGTTTGAAATAAGTTTAACCAAACAGTCCAAAATAACTTTTTCAAAGCTAAAAGCCATAAGTTGGCTCTGAAAAATTGAAACAAACACCGCCAATGACTTACAAGGTCAAGATTGGAGGCATCCAATCATGCAGTACTTAATTGGGAAGGATCATATCAAGTCCATAGAGTTATGCTTGGGGAAGCATACCATCTGAGAAATCTAAATGGTTATGTACATCCCAAGAAAATCAATGGCAGGTATTTGAAGCCTTATTATCCAACTGTGTGAGAAACACAAGAAGTGTGAGAAATGCTAAACAAAAGAAACGTGAAAACACTCAAATAATAAATAAGGATTTCATTTCATAAAGAGTTAAGTCCATGCAGCCATAGATTGGCCCAAAAATCAGTACAATACTTCAGTTGTTCCCTTATAATTGATTCTCTGCTCCTAAGGGATGGGAACAACTGAATGGATGTAGCTATGCCTTGCCTACGATTAACTAGCCCTTGATTGGTAATTTGCAGCTTTTTAGCAATTCGATCCAAGGTTAGGTTAACAGCTGCTAAGTCCTCTTCTAATTGGGCCTTTTTCTCCAAAATCTGGATTCGAAACTGAGAAGCAGATGAATGTTGTCCTTTTAATTCAGATATCTCAGTATGTATATGGGAAACAAATTCCTTGTCTTTTAATAGCTTCTCTTCCGCGGCTTTAACAATGTGGCAGATATTGACATAGAAATCTATGGTAGTTGCTGTTTGGGATAAGTGGCTTGAAATAGCCATATTGGATTGCCCAATGACTTTGCAGCTTTGGAGGAAACCATTCTTAAGTAGAGGTAATTGTAAGACTTCAAATGGGATCCTTGAAAATGATGTCAGCAATTCCAAACAGGTGCCTAAGTCCAATGGAGGCAAAGAAACTCTGCTGATGGTTGAAGAGCTCTCAAAAATTTACAAGAAGAAGTCAGCAAGAGCCAATGGCTCAGCTTCACTGTTGGCTGCTGGAGTGGTTGAAGGTGTGACAAAAAGGCTATCCAGCTGGGCCTAAAAAATGTCCATCTCTTCCACTGACATTGAAGGTACAGAAAGGTTTGGAAGAGGGGGTTGCATAGGGGTAGGAGAAGGGGTTGAAGTGTCCCTGGCAGTGTTTATAGTCCTGGCCACTAGCAAATCAAAGGAAAATGGACTAGAGCTGGATGGTGGTGGTGGATAAGAAATTGATAAGCTACTAGTATCTTCTTTGGAAGCACCAGCTATCACTGCTGAAGTGACAACTGGGGCCTTCTCAAGTGATGAAGGAGCAACTAGGATTGTAGAGGGAGTGAATTGGGCTGAGGTGAGGGTTAGATGAGGTAGATATGGAGTTAAGCCCGGGCATAAAGAAATAGAGATGCCTTGCCTCAAAAAAGGTATGGAAAGTGTAGAGCTGGGAAGTGGAAGTACTGTCTGGATGGGCTCTACAGTTAAAGGCACTTCGGTGTTAATCTTCTTCCTCCTTTTCAAGGTTGCCTCTAATGGCCTTTCAATTTCAGACAAGGCAAAAGAAGCCATTGTCAAAGGAGGAGGAAGTGAAGTAACTGTTACTGCAAGACAGAAAATAAAAAGCAATGGTAAGTTTTATTGCTGAAAACTTGGGAAACGAAATTACTAAAGAAACTAAAGGAAATTACCAGCCTCGGAAGTGGTGGTGGTAATGGTTGGAGAGTTGCGAATAGCATAATGTTGGCAGTTTGTTGCCCCCTTGCGGCTTCCCTTTGAAGTGTATCAGCAGCAGCAACTTCATTCCTTAATATATGTTGTTGCCTCATTTTCTCAGATCTCTAGAAAACCATCAATTCCTTGGATTGCTCCCTCTCTGCTGCCTTGGCAGCCGCTTGATGAGTAGGGTCATCAATGAAATTAGAGGGGGAGACTGTTATTTTTCTTCATCCTCTTAAGTGGTGTTTCTTGTTCCTTTTCTATAAGAACTTTAGGGACCTCATCCTCTTCAGGATCAAGCACAAGTTTCCTTTTCTTCTATTGATGTTGCTACTTGTATTTAAGAATGCTTAGAGCTTGAGCCCTTTGAGGAGAGTCTACTAGTGAAGCTCCTACATAAAAAAAAAAAAACTATAAGTAGATGAGCAAGACATTATAAAGAGAAGAGAAAGGAAAGATAGAAGTGCATGCCTCTTTTCGAAACAGCCCTAGTGACTCTAGGAGGAGGAAGAGAGGCAGCAGGAGTAGTCTTTGTGGCAACAGGAGTAGGAGTTGGGATAGCAGGAGTAATAGAAGAAGTGATGAGCCCAATCCCCTTAGGCTTGGCTTGAGAAGGCAAATCTAGTCCCACCAATAGATCCTGAGGGGGAATGGCCAAGTGCACCTCCATATTTGCTGTCCACCAGTTTTGATACCTCTTCAGTGCAATGCCTTGTGGGATAAAGGGAGTGAATTGAAACTCGATTAAGTCTTGAATAAATTTGGAGGTTGCCTCCTCCAGCTTGGTTCTTTGCACTCTCAGCTCTCTAGTGGCAAGGTTGGAGTTAGTTTGGCTGCAGAGAGGGATAAGGATCCCCTGAGTAAGCCCAAATTGCCTAGCAAATTGAGCAGGGCAGTAGGCTTCTGCTATGCATTTTATAAACTCGAAGGTGTAAAGTGCCAATAAAGAGCTCTCTTGGAGTTAAGATAGAAGCCCACATGTCCTTGTGCTAAGGTTGGGAACAGTTTTTGGCTCCATTTGGCAAGGAGGTTTAGGGCTATTTTAGCCACAAAAGACAAAATGCGCTATTTTAGCCACAACAAATAAAACATCATATCCAACCCATAATAATTACACTCTTCTCTCACAAAAAAAGTCCAAAAAGCCAAAGAGCCCTTCCCAAACCAAGTTTTTTAGCCCAGGCTAAAAAAGTCAAAAAAACCAAAAAGCCAACCCATTTCCCAAACGGAGGCAAAGCCAACCAAGAAAGTCCTCAACTAGACTAGGCCAACATTAGCTTCGAATGGACAAAAAAAGGTTTAAGAAGGAGGGGAAACTGAGAGTTGATGGAAAAAAGTAAAGTAATAAGCAAAAGTGGAAGGGTAAAGTGAAACTCTGGCATATTTTACTCCATAAGAAGTAGGGTCTGATACCAAAAATCTCAGGCACTTAGAGTGTAAAGCAGTGAAATAAGCAAAGAGCTAAAGTTGCAATATCCAGAGTGGCCCTCCTTGGTTAGCATCCAAAGGTTTTTCACAAAATTAGGAGCAGACTCTATACATATGGCCTAAAACGTATGGAGCTAAGGCTATTTTCTTCCCCAAAACAAGGGCCTTAGCAAGGGGAGCAAACTCAAGCATAATCCTCTGAGAAGACGTATAGAACAAAAATTTGCAAAGCCAATATAGAACAAAAGAGAAGAACTCTTTGTCTAACACAGGCCCTCTCTTGGGTTTTCAGAATGTGCAAAAATCACTAAAGGAGGAATTCAAATGAGGGATGAAAAAAGGCACATTAAGGTCAGGGTAATCAGGACCAAAAAGGGTGCCAATGGGGAATAACCCTAAGAGATAGCATATATCAAGAATGGTAGGGGCCATCATGCCACATCGAAATTGAAAAAAATTCAAATATGAATTCCAAAAACAGAGTGTAGTAAGTATGAAGAAAGGGTCTTCAGGGATAGAAAACCTGGCTAGTCCAAGGGCATCAAGGAGGCAGAGTTCATGAAGGTCCAACGTTATAACAAGGACAACTCAATCATACCATTCTTCCTATTTAGGTCACATTGTGGGCTAGCAACGGTGGGGTCGGTTCAACCTCCAGCTCCCCAGTCAAGGCCACCCTCGTAGAGTAGACAGTGGTTCTCTAGACGAGGATATAAGACAAGGAGCTGAGCAGGGGCCTCCCTAAAAATGGGTCAAAGCACATACTCTCCTTGAGCATGGTGACGAGGAATGAGGATGCGTTCATCAACAGCACACCATTCACTAGCTTTATATTTCTCAAATTCTTCATTGATGAGTCTCCTCAAAGTCACAGAGGGGCTCACATGCTCAACAACGGGCACTTTTAAAGACGAAGAAGCCATTATCGAGGAGTTGAAAGAGGAAAGTGGACGAGGAGTGGAAAGTTGCAGGCAAGAGCAGTAAGGGTGAGAAGGAAAATTTTGGGCAAGTGAATAGGCAAAGTGCAAAGGAATAGGGTTTTTAACCTTTCTGTCCAAAAGATTACCAATTCAACCCAACGAGTTAGTTAGACCCGAAATAAACCATTTGATGGTTTTGACTTAAGTGGAATTAAAATGCTAATTTCAGAACATAAGGGGTTTTAAAACCACATCATAGAGAGTCTCTTTCAGGAGTAAGTTGTGGGAGGGAAGTACATTTTTAAATGCTCAGCTTGGCTTCGAAAACCTGTTTTCTCCCAAGATCTTTGAAGCTTATGCCTCAAAAGGAAAATAGTTAAGGCTTGTTCTTTCGAAGGTTCTATAAGCATACTCTTAGACCATCTTTATACGGTAATGTCCTTCGAAAGAATCTTTAGAATGCCTATCTTGTTTAAAGTTGTGGATTCTGAAAGTAAGCACTACAAAACCAATACTTGGCCAAGTAGTGAAGAAACCCAAAATGACTTACTCTTTGAGAGTAAGCAGTATAATTCCTAAGGGAAAATTCCATACTTTGAAGCACATAAATTGTATTTCGAAGCAAAAATGGTTAATTCAAAACTGTTGGTTATACAGATTATGTTAACCATGTAATTGGAATGGAAAACTTAGGACAAAGATTGCCTTTCTTAAGAGAAAATTCCACACTTCGAAAATACTTAAGTTAGGCTTTAGAGAAAAATTAAGTTGATTCAAAGTTTTTGTGAACACAGTAAGGAGCAATGTCATATCAACCACACAATCAAGCATACAATTTTAACATAAAACCAGGTCATGCCAAATAAGAAAAGAAAACCCTTAGTTTTATTGATATATACGTAATTATATTAGAAAGACCTACTTGGCTATGAATTTGACTTCATAATAATAGGGAATAGAAAAAGTAATAAGTTCATTAAATTTAACCCAGCAGTGTTCAATGAACTTATGTTCTTTTTCTATTTTATTTTCTATCCTATCGAAGCTAGGTTGTTGTAGCTGGTATGCTCTTATTTGGTGAAAAAACTGTTCAGCTTTCACCTCGAACTCTGTCTTTTTCAGGCCTTGCTCAATTTCGTTCATATTTAAATCATCCCAGTACGCTGAATCCTTATTCTTGAAGTCATCATATCCTTTAATAAGGTTATCTGCTTCGTATTGAGTCTGAATACGATTGGTCGTGATTTCGTCCAAAGAATCACTGGTAGCCAAAGAAATTTTGTACCAGTGAAGAATGAGTGGAAGTTGATCCAAAAAAGCTTAAAGCTTTACCTGAGCAATGGGGTTGAAAACATGACCCCGAGTCATAACATCACAGGCCCATTGGAAGTTCTTGAGAGGAATCTCGTCTCCAAGAACATTGAAAGACAAGTGAGAGAAGACAGCAAGCAGAAGCTGAACTTTGTATCGCTCATATGCAGTTGGAAGAGCTAGAGGTTGGTAGGAAGGAAAAAACTGATTCTCGAAAAGAGTAAGTTTCAATTCATCCATCCAATGAGGATTCTGAGGAAAATGAGGTGCAAAGGGATCCATCCCGAAGGAAGAGGGGAATTGGGGGTCATTCACACATTCGAGTCAATCAGAAGAGCAAAGTTTTGCCTTCTTAGCCAAGAATAACGGATTATATCCCTTTGCTTTGTCTGGATGAGAAGTTGCTCACACTATCTTCGCTGGCATGGAAAACATGTACCACACCACAAGTAAGTTGTCTTCCAGACTGCGTTGGTGATCAATACGTATATAGGGGTAAACCACTGAGTTTCGAGTAGAATGAGGAATAGAGAAGGGATCATCAAATTCAACAACTTGATGATGAATCTGCTCCCTTAATTGGGGTTCATCAGGTTTTGACCAACTTTCCCAACCAGTGGACTTGGAGGAAAAAGAAGTGGCTTTGTCCCATACGGAGAGTGATGGGGCAGAAGAGGAGCTTCTAAGATCTATATCTGCAAATGTTTGGTTCAATAGTTTGTAGTTGGCAGATTCTTGGTCTAAAGGTTAGTAATTTGCAAAAGCTTCAATGACTTGTATAAATGGAGGCGGATAAGTGTAGCCAATAAATGCGTTAAGGTTCTGTCGAGGCCTGCAATCATCTTCTAAAGACTCCTCGTATGCTCGATTAATGTAAAAGAATGTGTGATTGGCCATTTGGGATGTATCAGTCTTTTCGTCTACTCAAAGAATGGAAGTGCAAAGCACAAGGATTTAATGAAGTTCACTGCTTCATTGTTCAAAAACAGTTATACTTCCGGAATATACAGGGTCAATGCACGTCGCAAAATGTGGGTAGATTGCACTAATCCACTAATATCACCAAGTATTAGGTATATTAGTGAGTGGAGTAATGTTGGCTATGTAATTTGTAAAAGCCAATCGCGAAGTGACATGCGACATCTAAAGGGCAATTTGGAAAATTAATGTAAATCTCTAATAAAAGACAGACACATGGCAGTTCATATTGGTAGTATCGGATCTGCGTGGCATCTGAATAGTCAAGAGGCGCAAGATGACATAACCTAACAGTTATCTACAATTCAAATTCAAATTCAAATTCAGAAGGAAAGTGTAACTGCAAAAGAGGCGTAGTGGGAGCTAGTTGAGCAAAGCCATGACCAGAGATCATGGAGATGTATTTTGACGGTTAGAAGGCCACTTCAACGGTTATCACTAAAGAGTATAAATAGTAGAGAAGGCTAAAGAGATCCAGACCCAGACTCAGACTCAGATCCATAAACCAGTTTATTTACTTCTTATTTCGTTCCACTTTTTACATTTTCAATTCTTTACATTTCCAGCACTTCAATTCATGTACTGCACTTCATTTCCTATGAGTAGTTTCAAATAGTTTGTTGGTGTTAACCTCTACGACACTGGGTCAGATCATTGTAAGTTTTCATTTACTTAATGAAATTCAGATTCTGAAATTGTTCTTCACTTATTATTATTTACTAATTTCTCCTAAATAAGCCACCACTAAAAATCATATTCACTGAGGCCGAAAGAACTATAAGACAATTATCTCATAATTGGTTGGCAATTAATATTCTGTAAGGACTAATTAGTTCTTGTTGGCACGCTTAAATTTATATTATTAACCTTCGAAAGCCAAAAAAGTAACAGATACAAATATCAAAATTAAACCCAAAATCCAAAACAAAAACTTTAGGTGTAGCGTTATGGTGGTAGAGGATTTTGGGTGTTTGTGAAAGGTGGTAACGGTCCAGGGTAGTATAATGGAGGGGTGAGATGAAAGTAGATGTTGGAAACAAGAGAGTAAAAAGACAATGGAAGTATGAGGGTGAAAATGTAGAAAATAAAGAAAGTGAGGGCTGGAATTTGGGTTCAGTTTTTGAATTTTGAGTTTTTTTTTTTTCCTCCTGATCTTCAAAGTAAGTAAAATTTGATTTTGAGAATAAATTGAGAACAACAACAAATGACCAAAATAAATAAAATAAAATAAAAATTTAAAGACCAAAGTAAAAAATTTATGAAATAAAAACAAAATATTATTTTTATTTTTATGCCACATGGCACCATGTCAACATGAAATTTTTTTCCAAAACCAGAAGGTGGATAAATTACAAGAAATTACAAATAACAAAAATGATCCGGACCCCTTTCAAAATGTGAACCCTACGACTCCCTTACTTGTGATTGGCTAGGTTTTTTTTATTTTTATTTTTTTTTTCTCCTCTTCCAATTACCAACCCCTACGTGTGTGTGGGGGTGACAGGGTTGATGATTGAGGGGGTCTCAATTACTTCTCTACAAATAAATAGGGCCAAAGTGAGAGAATAAATACTATAAGCCCCAAAGTAAAAAACTAAATAAATACTATAAGCCCCAAAGTGAAAAACTAAAAACTTTAGGGCAAATTACATATACCTCCCTCGAGGTTTGGTTAAATTACAGATATCTCTTGAGGTTTTGAAAATTACATCCCGTCCCTTGAAGTTTGTATTTTCATAACAATTTGCCCATTGAGGTTTATATTTCGTAACAAATTACCCCATAATTTGTTATGCAAATATAGCATTCAGGGAGAAATTTATAATTTCTCAAACCTCAGGGGGTATTTGTAATTTAGCCAAACCTCAAGGGGATATATGTAATTTGCCCAAAACTTTAAGGGGCAAAGTATAATTTACTTTCTTTTTTTTTTTATTACGAAAATGGCAACAAAACATTTGTGCAATTTCGCTCTGGTACAAATTCAGAAGCACATGGAAAAATGCCCAATCTCTGTGTCTTCTAGTCTAGGGTTTTGAGAACCAGTGAGTAATGTGTCTGATTCTAGGGTTTTTGCAGTGTCGAACTGTCCCGAGATCGAGCTGTGTCTGAAGATTAAGCTCGTGAGATTTGAATCAGAGACGAAGATTTTAACCTGTCTCAAGCAATGTACAGTGGTTCGAGTGATGGTGAAGGCCACGAAGCATCGGCACCGAGGAAGATTCCACCGCCGTCGTCCATGTTGTGGGTCAGAAATCTCCGCCGCTACATCGGATCCGGCGCTGGTCTCGGCTCCGAAGCCTTGATGGGTCTGTAATTTCCCATCTTCTTTGTCCATTTCTATACATTAAGATTGTGTATTTGTGAGTGTTTTTGGCTGATCAATTATAGAACTTGATGGGTCTGTATTCATTTCTATATTGAAGATTGTGTGTTTGTGAGTTTTTTTGGCTGATCAATTGTAGAACTTGATGGGTCTGGATTTTCTCATATTCTTTGTCCATTTCTATATATCAAGATTGTGTATTTGTGAGTGTTTTTGGCTGATCAATTATAGAACTTGATGGGTCTGTATTCATTTCTATATTGAAGATTGTGTGTTTGTGAGTTTTTTTGGCTGATCAATTGTAGAACTTGATGGGTCTGGATTTTCTCATATTCTTTGTCCATTTCTATATATCAAGATTGTGTATTTGTGAGTGTTTTTGGCTGATCAATTATAGAACTTGCAATGATGTACATTGATAAACCTCTTTGTAGAATTGACATGACTGAATGGGTGATATAATTTAAAAAATCTGGCAATTTCAGTAGTGTACCTTGATCTGAATTTAGTTCTCTACAAAGCTGTTGTGCAAGAACGTGGTTTCAATCACACAATAAACAATAACAAACGAACAAGCACACAAAAAATAACACAAGATATATGTGGTTTGGCGAGATGCCTACGCCCACAATAGAGAAACGATCTAAATCCACTATACGCAATAAGGATTATATGAACAACTCCGCAACTCTTCTTTTTTCTGTTACACTCTAAAACCCTACCTGAAAATAACAATATATATATACCACCAAATCTTCTCCGCCCTTCGCCTCCATAGAACACCTCTTACAGTACTTTTAGTGTACAGTAAATACAAGACAACTTACAACAATGTCATGTGCATGGATTTGGAATTGAGGCTATCAGCTATCTTAGTTCAAATATTGAGCTATGGTGGTCTCCATTTCAAAATCAAGGCATGAAATCTGCTCTTCTAAACACATTTGAATGATCTGGGGAGGTTTTGATGCTCAAAATTTTGGTATGGAGGTTATTTCATGATACGTAGTTTTTGGGTTGGCATTGCATTTTTTAGGAAATTTTGGTTAGGTTTTGATGGTTAATGGTAATGTAGGTAAGATTTGGTGTGTCGTGATATTTATGCTGAGGGATTACTCCTTTGTAATGGGGTTTTGGTAGAATTGATGTGTATGATTAATGATGCCTTGACGCTACAAGTTGAATGATATTATAGTGGGCAGTTTGTTTATTAATGGTTTTACTTGAGGTGGAATGTGGTTTAATTGCAGGAGTGTTCAATGTTAACTTGACAGTTGCAATCTTGAACTATGACTCTTTAGAACTCAATTTTCTAAAGCGGTTGTCCAATCTAAAAACGTCACTGTTGCTGGCACTCTTGACATTCAAATGATCTTCAAAGGGAAATTATTCATCGTCCCTCCTAATATCAAAGAGTGGTAGGACTGAACCAAGAATATTCTGTTTCCTTGATTACACCTCATTTTATCCATCCCATTCTTAGGTATTGCAATCCTATGAAGGAGCTCATTTGTAGCCTCCAATTCCCAGTTTTGAAGAGACCTAATGAAGAGAGTTCCCACACCATCCAGAAATCAGAGACTCTCAAGTATTAGGCTACCAAAGCATCCTTATGTATAGCAATGACTTATAGATCCTTGAATGCCACTGATAAGGGAATATCCCCACACCAAACATGTTATCGAAATTGTATTTTTCGACTATAACCTAGCACAAGTCTTACATGTTTGACAAAATCTGATCAACCTCTCATAATACCTTTCCACAAACCCACCTCATATGACTCTCATACTTCCTTGGATGTCCATCCCCTTTGGCACCAAAAACCCTTCCATCTTCAACCACATTCTCAAAATGGAAAGGGCTTTTTCTGCAATGAATAATCCTACAATCTAACAAGACTGGCAAGTGGTTGAGGCCAGTAAATAAACTTATTCTAGCCCTTGTACCTCTTTAACGCTTATAAAAAAAGAAAAACGATTCTTGGCTTGAACCTCTTTAATACTTATGTCACTTTGAGCTGTTGTGAAAGAAATGTCATTGAATTATTAGTATCATATGTTAGAATGAGATGTAATTTCAGCCCCATTAGTACAACATTTGAAAGCAAACAGATGTGAAATCATATATAAATTACACATCAGATGCAAATATGAACATTGATAATGTATAAATATTCACTCACAATTTAACTGTCTACATTGACAGAGCTTGAGACAAAGAGAATCTTGCTTGATATATTCAAAGAGAAGCAACAAAAGAGTGCTGAAGCTGGAACAATTCCGAGCTTCTATAAGAAGGTAAGGTTATGGTTTTCGCGTCCACATTTGAGCGGAAAACTTTATGTCTTACACTATGCCAGGTGACCTAACAGGAATGCGTGCAAGTCACTTTAAATTTTCCCTTCTTCTTTCTCAGTGCTTGTTTTTATTCAGGCAACTTTTGTCTCTCTCTCTCTCTCTCTCTTTCTCTTTTTTTTTTTTTTTGTGTTTGTATTTACTTGTAATGGAACTCAAGTGCAAATGCTGAAGGGAGAATGTTCTTACCCCTGTCCTTTTGTTATTTGTTTCCACTTTGTTCAGAAACCTGAAGAAGGTTCCATCAGTCACAGGGTCCAGAGGCTGGCTAAATATCGTTTTTTAAGGGTATGATGTGCACTTATTTTCAAAGTTTGAGTACTGTTGTCAGTTATCATCACTTAACATTTCAACTCTTGGCAGATCTAAACCAGTATTTTAAAAGTTTATTATAGTAAAGAAGTATCTGTGTCTTGGGGTGTGATATTGGAACTCCATATTGCCTTTTTTGTTTTTTCTAGATAGATTATTGATAAATTTGTTAGCTGGTACAAAATCTCAATATGATTTTCAAGCTGACATGTGCTCAATTATTTGGTTTAGTTTTTTTAAGATGTGGATTGGCAATAATTAATTCTAGTCATGATTTCACATGTGCAGAAGCAATCTGATCTTTTGCTAAACGCTGATGATCTGGATGCTATGTGGGTTTGCTTAAGAGAAAATTGTGTGATTGATGATGCCACTGGTGCTGAAAAGGTGTGTGGACCCTGTCATTTTAATGTACTTTTTTTTCCCCCCGTGTTGTTAAATATAAGTTCAGCTTCTCTGCAAATGTCCACACTAGCAGTAGTAGTTGATTTCTTATCTTTTGAGATTCTTCCAGATTTCTGACCTGTGCTGGCAAGTGCAATACTTTGTTGCGCAATCATTTTACCGACTGTGTGTGTTGATGAAAAGCCTATTCTGCAGTGCAGTGCAATTCTTTTATGAAATTGAGTCATTGAGTTTCCTTTGCACACAAGTGCTCATACAGTTTTATAATTGTTGTTATTATTGCTGATGTTTTTTCTTTAGATTCTAATGGTTGGATTGGCATTACATATTATTTGAACTTTGTTGAATATACTACCTGTACTCTCTAGTTTGTTTATACTTATCTGCAATGATGATGTTAAAACATGTCTTGTTTGTTGTCTTGGTAGATGAATTATGAAGACTTTTGCCACATTGCCTCTGTATGTACAGAACAAATAGGCCCTAAATGTCGACGTTTTTTCAGTCCTTCAAATTTCATGAAGTTTGAGAAAGACGAGTCGGGAAGAATTGCCATTCTGCCCTTTTACCTTTATGTGATGCGCACGGTAGGTCTTGCCTTTCTATGCTTTACAAGTCTTGTTTTCTTTAACCTGTTTCTTTTATTTTCTGGAAGGATCAATGTCTGTGTCCTATATTGCCTGTTCTTTTTTTTTTTGGTTGAAGAACATATTTCTTGCTGTCAGTTTATGTCAATTGTAGAGAACCCTTTCATTTGCTAATAGAACTTATGTTGGTGGTTGTTGAGTCTCTCTATGTTCCTGTATGTGTGACCTCATTTTGGTTTGAGCTATGCAATAAAGCCACATCAATACCAAGTTGCCTATTTCCTGGCATTCTTGCAAATAATTATTATAATATCTTGCTCTATGATAAGTAACAAGAACTCTGCAACATCGATAACGATAACCCATGCCAATATTACAATGCTTACTGCACACATATTTTAACTATAAAGTTGTGTTTTGACTATTTGCTATTGATGCTCAATTTGGTTTAAGCAATGTGAAGAAGGCACAACCAAGTCATGGTTCCTGTTATTTTGATTCTAAGTGGAATATAATAAAGATTCTATGTGATAGAAAAAGTACACACACACACACACACACATATATATATATAAAACTAAATGAAAAATGACATTATGTGGATGATTCCGTAGTAACACTTTATGCAAAACCGTTGCAGCCTAGTAAATCCTTCCATAAAAAAACAATAGAAGTGTTTTCAAATGACTTATAATTGCAAGCAAACTACTCCAGTTAGCCATTGGAAGGGGGATCTAAGATGATAAAGGGTAAACTACCAATAGGTCCTAATAGTTGGACTTAATTCCCATTAAGTCCTATTGAAAGTTAGTCCTAATAAAATCTTCACTAAAAATGATTTTTTGTGACGTTTTTTTGTATATGTTGCTAAAAATTAAAAATTAGTGACCTTTTTTTTTTAATCACAATTATTATTAATTGTTGCTAAAACTTACAATTAATGACGTTTTTATGTGACGAATTTTTCAAATTGTTGATGAAAGTTGAAAATTAGTGACTTTTTTTGTGACCTTTTAAATTGTCACTAAAGTTTATAATTAGTGACTATTTTGTGACATTTTTTAATCTGTTGTTGAAAATTAACATTTAGGCCCCGTTTGGGAACTTACTTTTTTAGCCAATTAGCCAAAAAGTTATTAAATTAGCTAAAAAGCCAACAACTCATACCAAAAAGTCAAAGATTCTCTTTTCTCTCTACTTTTTGCACATCTTTTTGTAATTAGCTAAAAAGTCATCCCAAACATACAGGTTTTTTTTACCTACCTTTTTAGCCAAATAGCCAAAAAGTTACTAAATTAGCCTGTTCCCAAATGAGGCCTTAGTGACGTTTTTTAATAGTATTTGATGAAACCATTAATTATCATAAGACCTAGTGAATAATAAGTCCACTTATTATGATCTACACGTAAGTCCTCTTAAGACAAACAAGATGGTGATGTCATGATCTGCTCATCTTAGGTGCCAATCTATGAGGCACGAACACCTCTTCGGAGGCTATGTACAAGTCCGACACATGTCGGACACGGACACGGACATGCTCCGAACACATGTTAGACACTCTGGGACACGCTACAGACACGTTGCGGACACGTTAAGGACACACCGAGGACTATTCTTGTTAATTTTTTAAAATTTTTTTTACTAAAATAACATACCTAAAGTTGATAAATTTGATAAAATTAAATATTTGACATAAATTACATATTAGATATTTAAAAATATAACATGTAATAAATATATAAAATTATATTTTTTACACTTGTCCCCAATGTGTTGTGTTCTGCATTTTTTGAAAATTTACGTGTCTGCGTGTCCGTAACGTGTCACATGTCTGTGCTTCTTAGGTGCCGGTGTTATAACCTGTAGTTGGCGACAGCTGTCATTATGCCCTTGTGTTCAAAATTGATTCCCAAGGGTGTATTTTTTTTGGTCTAAATCCAAATTGACTTTAGGAGTGGATTGAGTTTATTCGAGAGAAAAATGAAAAGAGGAGCATGGTCCTTTCTCTGAATATGTAATCAATAAATTTCAATAGTACCCTCAAATTCAATAGTATATCAGTTATAAACTTTACACAACTCCACAATTGTTCGGTCACTGCAGTTTGACCTGCCTGATTGGGCTATTGCAGTCCTGATTTCAGCCTTGAGTATTTAAATGTGAACTTTGTTTAATTTCTTTGTGGATCTCTCTCTCTCTCTCTCTTTTGTAGTGTCATGTAATACTACTTCATTTTTTGTTCAGGTTTCACTTACACAGGCCAGAATTGATATGAGTGAGCTTGATGAAGATTCTGATGGTTTCCTACAATCTCATGTATGGTTCTTTACTTTTTTCAACTCCTCATTATCTGAAATTGGATAGTAGGTTTTTTTAAGTATAATCTTCATACACAGTAACTACTTGTTGCAAGAAAATTTATTTTGTGAATCTTGTATGAGAACAAGCTATATTTTGTTAATTGCAGGAAATGGAGGCTTATATACGAGGCCTTATTCCTAATTTGGCACAACTTCGGGACATGCCTACAGCCTTTATTCAAATGTACTGCCGCATAGCTGCACACAAATTTTTCTTCTTTTGTGATCCTCATAGACGAGGTTTGGGATGTTCTAAATCTTATTTAAAAGAAAGAGTTGATTTTATATAGCAATATTTTAATTGTTCATTTGTTGCACTAGAGTTTTCATGCTTCATTTAATGTGACTGCACCGGTGCTTGTTAGTTTGCTGTAACTGAGTATATTCTATCATGTGGTATCATATTATGCCAAATGCAACTCTTTTTCTCAACCACCACCAGCGCAACCCCAGATTTTCTACGTATGTTTTAATTAAATTATTAGCTCTTCTTTCATGTTTTCATATATATATTTTTTAAATATGATTGCAATGGTGGCATGTTGTTTTACTGTAGCTACAAACTATTTGGTTTCAACTACATGAATCTTGTTTTACCATTTTCTTTGTTGAGGGCTGTAAATGTTCTTTGATTGATATAACTTCATGAAAATTGGGCCTCTTTTGATTTCTTAATATCTCCCTTCATATGGGTTCTCAGTTTTCTCTTTGACTGTTGGATGTACGAAAGTTGAGAGTTAAGCTTTCCTTGCAGGAAAGGCATGCATAAAGAAGATTCTGCTTAGTAACTGTCTCCAGGAACTAATGGAACTACACCAGGTAATATGCTTGCGATTGTTCCCAACTCACTAACCATCTGCAATAGGAAGATATTATATTTTTATTTAGGCTGTTTCTACTGTCTTTGGTAAATTTGTTAATCTTTAACTTTGAAAATGCTCTCTCTATTACTTTGCGGGAATTTGTTAATCTTTAACTTCGAAAGTGCTGTTCTCTCTGTAACTTTGTGGGATTACTATGAAGTGATTTGTTATAGACTTCATTTCCATATATTATTCCCCACCTTGCTGTGGTCCCGTTGGTGGTAATAGTTCCACATTAGAACTCTTATATTGCGGCTATTGTGAGTTGAGGAAAGTTCACATCTATGTACGAAATTTATCTTGCAAGGCTAATCCATTTAATTGAATTTCTGGATGTGTAGTGCACTTCCATTTGTTCCTGATCTAGTTCATTTTTGTCTACTTGCAATCTTTATTCACTATAATTTGTTTGATAGACACTGGATTTTGTTCCTTTGCTTTGTGGTGACTTATTTCTTTGATTTTCCTATTTTTCTGGCCAATTTTCTTAACAGATTTGATGATATTTTCCAGCATGAAAATAAGCATTAAGCGCATGCATTTCATTTTTGTCCTTTGCTTTATATGGAATTTTATAGTTTCTGTCTTGATGAAACGATGAGTTTAGATTTCCAAATGTCTGCTGCAATGCTATACCTGCAAGACTGACTACAAACATCTATTGCTGTCATTGGCTTGCTTCTTTCAGACTGTATAAAATTGGTAGTAAATAATTTGTGTTGATCTTAAAAGAAAACTTTCCACCATTAATTCAAGTAAATAAGCTGTATAAAACTTGTTTTTGCATTGTATCAATCACAGTTATTGAGTTGGTTTTAACTCAATTATGTATGATGTAAGAAGCATTGAAATGTAATTTTGTTCCTGCACATTTATAGAAGCTGACGTTGGATTCTTACCTTTTATGTATATTAGGAAAGTGAGGAAGAAGTCACTGACACTGAACAAGCTGAAAACTGGTTTTCATTGACATCTGCCCAACGCATATGTGGTGGGTACTTTGAATTTATCAAGTTTTGATACATGTTGAGTCCCTGGTATCTTTTTTCTTGTTCTCATGTTGTTCTTTAAATTGATCTTATTCTGCACAAGATAAGTTTGTGCTACACTACTAGTATTGAAGTGCTACACCAATACTTTATGGTTTGTATCATATGCCAGAGCATGTGAGTAATACTGTTGAAATGTGAAAAGGGATTTGAAATTGACAATCTGACACCCGTGATATAAAATTTAATTGGCAAGTAAGGTACAAATGTATAGATTGGAAGGGCCAAATGGTTATCACCTCTAATTGTTGATATTTTGTAGATGAAAGGATTTCAACAGTCAGGTTTATGCATCTGAAATTCGTTTAGAGTATACTTATAATTGTAGATTTATAAGTGGCAATTAGTTACCTGTATATATTATCTTTTTATTTACATGTTCCTAACTTCCCGAGTTCTAATTGCATTGCATAGCTTGTAATTGCTGTTATCATTATTGTTGTAGCTTATGGTGATCATTTTAGTTCTGCAGATATGTTTCTTGCCCTTGATAAAGATATGAATGGAACATTGAGCAAGCAGGAACTTCGAGAATATGCAGATGGGACTCTGACAGATATTTTCATTGAGAGGGGTAAGAGGTTGTGCCGTGCATGTTTTCTGTTTTCCATTTCTTGAAATTAATGCAGGACTTACCCTTATGTAATGAGTGGGTTGGTCGCACTCCATTGCTTTACTGTCTATCGAAATTATTGACATTTGCCTCTTTTGCAAAATGTTTTGGTTGCTTAAAAGTTCTTTCGTTTTGTTACTAGTGGAAGGTGTCAATTCCAGTATTTTTTTTTAAGCTGTCTTTGCTTAATTTTATTAGAATTGATTGTAACATTTTGCAATGTTTACTAATCTTTAGGATAGAGATGTCTCTTGTGGTCATTAGAAAGTAACACAGAATGTCAATTACATTGTCCGAGCTCGAAAAAAAAAAATCATCACTGTTTCATCAGCTGTGCTTTAACCTGGAATTTTCCCTACCTGTTACAATAATGGGAATATATTCAGAGTAAATTGTTTTTCTGCATTTTGTTTTATTAACCTTTTGTTCGTTGTTGGTTTTGGTTTGCTAACAGCATTTGATGAGCACGTCCGCTCTGGAAAAAGTGGAGGAAATAATGCTCGGGAGATGGATTTTGAGAGTTTTCTCGACTTTGTTCTGGCCCTAGAAAACAAAGACACTCCAGAGGGGTTAACTTATTTGTTTCGTTGTCTTGATCTCCATGGAAGAGGATTCCTCACAACAGCTGATATTCACACGCTTTTCAGGTTAAATTTCTTTGTTCAGCTTTCCACTTATTTCATTGGGGAGAACTTCTTTTTCTTCAATTATTCTTTTGTGCTTAGTTTGGTTGCTGAGAATGTATGTTAGAATTTTGGACTTCTCTTTTTCTCTTCGGCAACTAAATAGAGTGAAATCCTAGCATGGAAGAAAAGGAAGGGAAGCATCACCAAGCTGAGATGTTTCCTGATACAATCTTCCTAGAGAAAACGTCTGTATTTTCCTACTTGTGGTGGTTTAGTAAGTTCCACAAGTCTCATTTTACAGATACATGAACTGAACTATTTGGTTTGGAACCTTGTTAAAAGCTAAGAAGCACAGATACTTATAAGAAGGTACCGTGTCATGTCTGTTGAACACTTTTCAACAGTTAGACATACATAAAACACATTACAAGTATAATAAAATAACTTAGAATCCAATGATAACTTAGAATCCAATGATAAAACAAAAACAATGTCAATTTATACATATTCTCCTATTTTAGACTCTAAAATTTATTACCTTTGACTGAAATATTAAAGCAATAGTAGTATATCAGTGTTCCTAAGTTTTGTTTTACATGTAGTTGGCAACTTTGAATTACTTTTGTAATGTATTATACTAGTATATTATGTGAGCTGGGTTCAGAATGTCGTGAGACAGTTCGGTCCATATCCGGTGTGGGTGTTAGAGCATTGAGAGGACCTTTCCCTAGTACGAGAGGACCAGGAAGGATGCACCTCTGGTGTACCAATTATCGTGCTCACGGTAAACTTTGGGTAGCCAAGTGCGGAGCGGGTAACTGCTGAAAGCATCTAAGTAGTAAGCCCACCCCAAGATGAGTGCTCTCCTATTCCGACTTCCCCAGTAAGACACATGAACCAAGCATAGAATTGGACACAAAAAAAGTAGAATGAATAAATAAGATTTTTGCGAAGTGGGCTCCACTAATAAATCTTGTTAATTATTGTTCATTCATATGTTTTATGTATCCAATTTTGTGTTTGGTGTGTAACCCAATACAATCATACTTATGTGCATTTTTCTTAAGCAGCAGGTCTTTCAAAAGACCTAATATGGAGATAGGTTTTTGAAACATGGCATATACTTTTGAGCATTTTTTTGTCACACTTCAATGCATACTGTCATCATCTGACAATTTCTCTCCCATGAGTGTGAAACAGAGATGTGCACCAGAAATGGATTGAGGGAGGGAACTATGAGCTATGCATCGAGGATGTAAGAGATGAAATTTGGGATATGGTGAAGCCAGCCGACCCTCTGAGGATCACACTGGCTGATCTACTGGCTTGCAAACAGGGCGGGACCGTTGCCAGCATGCTTATAGACGTGCGTGGTTTCTGGGCCCATGACAATAGAGAGAATCTTCTCCAAGAAGAGGAAGAGCCAGAAGAAGAATAACAGATGCATTGGAGAGAGTTCATTGGAACCGTCTCTGTACTAACACGAGTTCTAAGATTTGGGCTTGTAATTTTCACCGATGGGGATGTGTTGCTGCATTGCTTGCTGCAACTTCACAAGGTGAGTTTGTCTTATGTTAATGTTGTACAAGAACATCTGTGGTAGTGTTGGATTGGAATCGCAGGGCACAAAAACTGAAGGATCATTTTGAAATCTCGATGCTACTGGTTATTACCCGGTGGAGGTGTGGCTCTAGTAAGACTTTAATTCGAAAAATGATTTAGAAATTGTTTATGTCCAAGTTTGTTTTGTGTCTTTGATTTTAATATTGTACCCTTTGCCAAAATCCAGTTTGAAACATTATCTTGGGTGCCAGTCTATATTGCCAATAGTGAAATACAGTAGCTTCATAGATTCCATCACTTTTGTTTCATAATTACAAAAATGATACGGGCACGAATGAGTTTTGTGAATTTCATTTAGAATGATGTGATAATATGTTAAAAAAATTGAAGTAAAATGCCTGATAAGAGCAAGATATCACATTATTATGTGTTGAAATTTTAAATTAACATGGCTTGTACAAATTTTCTATATGTATAATGCTATTCGGATTGTCACATGCCCGCCTTGCGGAGAAGAGCATGTCTGATGGTAGTTAGACTCTAATTAGTTTGCCAAGACAACTTGTGAGCCTCAAAGTGATACCCAACAAGCACAAAAACAAACTAGTAAGTGGGGGTGTGCACGGGTTGATTCAGTTTGGGTTTGGCATTGATCCATTACTTGAACCGACTGTCGGTTAAATGTTTTTGTTTTGATTCCAACCGTGCTATTGTTTGAAACCACTCACTTTGAAACCAACTTTGGCAGTCGGATTTTGGTCGGGAAGAAACAAAACCGGGGACTCACTTTTCTCTTCAAATCCTGATCCGTATGTACAAATCTGAGACTGAAGAAAAACAAAAAACATGGAAGAGAGATTTATTGGGTTCATTTTATCACCATTGATTTCTGACCAAAGCAGCCTTCGTCGTTGCCAACGGCAAAATAACTGTTACAATAACCCTCTGGTAATCAGAGAGGGTAAGAGGGAGAGGAGGGAGTTTCAGAGGTGAGGTGTTGATGAATACTAACAGAGGGATCTGAGAAATAAGTAGAAAGTAGGGGAGATATGAGGCGTCAGAGGTGAAAGGCTATGTTTGGCATGTGAGGTTAGGGTTATTTTAGTACAAAAAGATAAAATAAGTTAAAAAATTAATGAGAAAAAATGGCACATTCAAATCGTAATTATTTTATTTTTTTCTTCATGAAAGTTAAAAAAAAGTTAAAAAATTCATAATTATCTCTTTTTTCTCACAAAAATTTTTAAAAAATAATAAATTTGTCACAAATGAAACATTTAAATTTAAATTAAAATAATTAAAAAGTTAACGAAGGCAAAGTGTAAAAAAGATTTGAAAGAAATTCAATTAGAGAGAGAGAGAGAGAATTAAAGGAGAGGCTAAGGGATGAGAATTGATAATCTTCATCAATTAAAAAACGAATTTTAGGCTTTGGGATAGGCACTAGGTAGCTGTTTTCCTATAATGGGTTTTTTTAGAAAGTGAGTTAAAAATAATTTTCTTAGTTTTTTTTTATTTATAAAAATATATAAAAAATAGAAAAGAGATATAATTCAAAATAAGTTAGAAGTTAAAAAATAATTTTTAACTCTCTATTTAAATGAGGCCAAAATATACTAATGATTCCTTTTCTTTTCTTTTCTTTTCTTTTTTTTTTTCAGAGACTTGCATGCTTTTTGATAAGGAAAATGAGTGAGAGCACTAATTAGTGCTATCACTAATGATGTGACAGTGGGTCCCACCAGAAATGATTTGATATTTTAGCCTTGGTGTTATATATATATATTTTTTTATTGAGTGTCATGTCATTAGTGGTCTTTTTAGAGTTCAAAAATTAGTGGTCTCTATCATTATTGTTTTGATAATACGTTAATGACTTTTGATATTTTCAAGACATAGCTTGTAGACAAATTTTTAAGAATAAATAACAATACAGTAGTTAACAAACGAGAGTATACCACATATAAAATTTAATGTATAGTTTGATTGGATCGGATTGAATAATTTCACATTCTGGCATTGTTTGGGAACTTAGTTTGGGGTTAAAATAGTTACAAAAAATAAAATAGGCTATTTTAATCACAAAAAACAAAACATCAAATCTAACCCATAATCATTACAATCCTTTCTCACAAAAAAAAGTCAAAAAAGTCAAAAAAGTCCTTCCTAAACCAGGCTAAAATAGTCAAAAAGTCAAAAAGTCAACCCACTTCCCAAACGGAGACTCTATAAAACCAAGGCTAGATCATATATGAAAAAAAATTGCATTACTATCCGTAGCTGACCGAATTGTCTGACAAAACCGTTAACAGCATCATTTTTTTAATTGGTCGGGTACATCGGTTTGTTGCACACCCCTGCTAGTAAGCAAAAACGAATGTCAAACAATAAACATGATTTGAGCACAATTTTTCTTGTTAGTTTTTTTAAATTTTCTTTTCTTAACAAAAATAAATAATTTAGCACTTGCCAGAGAATGTCTCAATAAGTGTAGTCTCATGATTCTGTAACAATTATATATTTATTTATTGGAGAGATGTTGACTATTTTTTAATCAAACGACATTTTATTGAAAAAAGAAGGAATGCAAAGGATGACAGGAAATCCTCAAAAAAAAAATAAAATTAATCAGATTGTTTAAACAACAATGATTTAGAGCATTAATTTGGGCGGTCTAATAGAACACCAATGACATGATAAAGAACAAAAAAAAAAATTTAAAATATCACATCACAATAAATGAAGTTCACTACCAACTCATTAGAATTTTCTTTAGAGTTCAAGAATTAGAGTTTAAAAATATTTTTTTTATTTAAAACTCAAATACTGACCTCCAATCATTAGAAGTCAAAAAGAGTGAGATTCTTTTAAATGAGCTAAGCCCAAATAAATATATATTGAGATTTTAAAAATTCTATTAAAATCACACCCATGTAAAATATTTAGTAAAAATTTTAGTAGAATTTTTAAAGTCTACAACATTACTTAGCCTCCATTTGGGAAGTGAGTTGACTTTTTAGCTTTTTGGTTTTTTTTGCTATTTTAACCTGAGGCTAAAAAGCTTGGTTTGGGAAGGACTTTTTGGCTTTTTTAGATTTTTGGTGAGGTGTCTTCCTATGAATTTACCAAAGTGCCCTTGATAAGATTTGTACCTGTAATTGAAATGTATTTTACGTCCATGTCAGCTTCCCAACTGTCCGAACTTCTAATTGTTGTTGTTGTTGTTTTTTTTTTTTTTTTTTTTTTTTCGGTTTAGATTTGGCGTTTTTTGCTAACCTTTTTTTTTTTTTTTTTTTTGCGGGGGTTTTGATTTGGCCTATTTTGTTTAAATTTTTTTTTATATTTTTATTTTGGGTTTTATTTTATTTTTGTAAAATATTTATTTATTTTTTGTATTTTGGGTTTGGGTTTGGATTTGGCGTATTTTGTTTAAATTTTTTTATTTTTTATTTTTTTATTTGGGTTTTGATTTTGGCTTATTTTGGTAGAATTTTTTTTTTTTTTGGTTTGGATTTGGCGTATTTTGCTTAATTTTTTTTTTTTAATTACATTAATTTGTTTTGTTTTTTTTTGGGTCTTGGTTTTTTCATGTTGATTTTAAATTTTTATTTTTATTTTCTGTAAAATGATAAAAAGTGAGGTTTTAAATAATTGTCCTGTGTATTTTAAGGTCTTATTTTATTATTATTTTTTTTTGCAAATGGTTTTTTTATGTGTTTTTTATTTTTTATTTTTTTTATTTTTTTTTCATTTTCTGTAAAATGATAAAAAGTGAGGTTTTAAATAATTGTCCTGTGTATTTTAAGGTCTTATTTTATTATTATTTTTTTTTGCAAATGGTTTTTTTATGTGTTTTTTATTTTTATTTTAATTTTTGTTTTTCATTTTCTGTAAAATGATAAAAAGTGAGGTTTTAAATAATTGTCCTGTGTATTTTAAGGTCTTATTTTATTATTATTTTTTTTTGCAAATGGTTTTTTTATGTGTTTTTTATTTTTATTTTAATTTTTGTTTTTCAGAAATGTTCAGAACTGGGTGATCTTACTTCGGCTAAAGAGAGTCGGGCATCGGTGACTCTTTGAGACTTTTATGTTCTAGATCGGTTGATTGTCTACAGTGATCTACCTATTTGGGGCAAACAGGATCCTAGTTCGGTTGCTATGTGATTTTGGATCTAAAACTGGTTTTTTTCATAAATAGTTCATGCACACATGAAGCTCTACTGGTTTTTTCATGAAAGTACGAAAGCAAAGCAGAAATGGAGGAAAACTGTTTTGCAAAAACATAGAAAGTAAGAAACAAATACATAGAACATATACGAAAGCAAAAACAAGGAAGGAAAAAAGATTTACTTACCAGATTGGAGAGAAGGGGACTAGAAATGACGACAGTGGCTGCAAGAGAAGAACAAAAACGCAGGTTGAAAAGGCAAAGGCACGAAGAGAGAAGAATATGAAAAGTGTGAGTGAATGATTCGAGATGAAGGGATGTTTTATGAAAAGGACGAGCGACAAAAAGTGGCGGGGACTGTTCAAAATTCACGAAGTACGAAAGACGGCGTGACAGCCGTCCTCAGCCCATCAGAATCTGCCACGTGTCATTGGAAGGGGAAGCGTTATAGTCGCTGTGATTGAAGAGACGTTTTGACCGGACATAGTGAAGCCCGAAGTAAAATTAGCTCGGTTGGAGAGCCCGAGGGTTTTTTCGCTCGTCTGGAGAGGCTAAAGGGTTTTTAGCTCGGCTGGAAAGGCTTAATAAACTCTAGCTCGGCCAGTAGACTGATAATCCCAATCATGTTGCGCAGATGGAATTAAGGGGCAATTGAGAGGGTAATTTTTGGGAAAAATTGGGCCGAGCTGCGAGTTGGGCTTTGAGGCCCAAAACGCGAAGGACTAAGTAAAAAGGCCGTAATGGATACTCCGGCCCAGGAGAGCAGGGTTACTCCGGCCTTTTTTTCTTGGGAAAAGGATTTTTTTGGGAAAAGGTTTTTTTTTTTTACTTTTCATGTGTTGAGGCGTTGCCCATAATTCATGTGGGATAATTTCGTAAATTTTCGTTGCCCTTGATTGTTACCCAGCACCTCACAACTTTTTATCCTCACTTGGCTAATTAAGCCTGTTTTGTTTTCACTTGGCTAAAATAGCCCAACTTTCCCTTTCCAAACACAGGCTTAAGTCTAAAACCATGTCATCAATTGAACTTTGTACTATAAAGAATTCGAATTCAAAAATTTGTCTACAAAGATTTTCAGGTTTCTTTCCAATCAAATGACTTTTAAAATTGCAAACACTACACAAAGCCACAATAGTGCTATTTGTTGCAACTTGAATGCTTTATTTATAATTTTACTTTTATTTGAGATTTTGTGTCAAAATATACAAGATTAAATTATTTTAAATAAATTTAAAAAATTAATTATCTTATCTTAAAACTGAAAAATGGGGCATTGTGGTTTTAGAAGAACTTATAACTTATCAACCTCGAGTTAAAATAAAATTAGCAAATAGGCCCAAAATGATTGAGATGAGACATCAATGTCACACAAATATATGAAAATGATAGGTAAATTATTGATTTTTTTCTCTTCTAATTTTTGTACCTTTTTTTTTTTTTGTAAAAAGTTAAAAAATCATCCCAAATATATTAAAATAGTATATTCTTTGTTTTTGGGTGAATTTAAAATAGTATATTCCCAGCCATAAATACATTTAAAAAGTAAAAAAATTTAAATATAAAAATTCACTTGAAAAAAAAAACATTAAAAACTTGAAAATAAAAAAATTTGTGATTGGCCCAATATCCTATCATACAATTTCAAGTTGATTTTGAGGAAATATTATGGTATACACCTGTGTGTACTATATACACTTTATAATTAAAGGAAAAAAATAATGTAGCTCCATACTTTTTGAGTTATAACTGAAAAAAATTATAACTGAATATCACATGAGGCATAACTTAAAATCTCATCAGTCATAACTAAAATAATACCATAAATAAAAAACAATAATCATAATTAAAGAAAAAAAAATTGACATAACTTAAGTGTTAGCTTTGTCCAGCTGACTCTTTTCGGATATTTTGTGCCGTATTCTGATCGATACTCGACTTTTTATGTGGCATGTGATTGAGCTCCATTAGGTGTCTTGGTGATGGGTCCTTTATATATATATATATATAATTTGGTCAAATTTAGCTGTTAATTGATTATCTCAAGACAGGACATGCGGATGATGTGCTGTCTCCTCAAAGTATTTTTTTTTCTTGATAAAAAACAGAGTGTTATTGTTAGCACCCTATCAATTATTTTGGATCTCCAATTTCTTTGGACCCCCACTTATAAATTGTAAAAGCTTTAAAATTTATTTTTGCCCTCCAAATAATACCAAAATTATATTTGTAAAAACATTTCACCCATTCAAATGCACAACCTCACATCCCCTACACCCAAAAATGAACTCTCTCTTGAAATCCTAACAAAACCCATGATGGTGTAATCTCCAAAAACCAATGAAAAAAAATTATGGTTATTAAAAAGTTTTTTCTCAGTTTCATTACGAAATTTGTTAATTTGTTTGATTTTTTTCCCCCTATTATCTCTTTTCATGCACACAGCACAATCCACTTTCACACTTCTCTAATTAGTTTTTTGTCATTCATTCATGGCCTCACTTCTGTATGAGCAAAACTAGGCAGAATTTCACTCATCGATCTATCACCCAAGGGTGGTTTGACCTCCTTTGTTTGTCTTATTCTACTGCTACTTTGGTTATTTATTCTCGAACAAATAAGAAATGTTCAGTTACTTGTTCCTGAGCAAATAAATAATGCTCAGGCCTATATTCCAAAATTTTGGTCATATTTTCGGGAGTTTAGTCACAAAAAAATAACGAACAGCTTTTATTATTTTTGTCCTTTTTAAAGAAACTCACCTTTGTAAGGCCAATTTCATTTAAGTTAAGAACACTATCAAAATGATAAACCTCTTATGAGTTTTTATTGTTGTACTCCTCTTGTCTGATGGAGTTGTAGTTGTCGGAAAAATTTTCACTCATTGTCATTGTTAGAAAAGTGTATATAATTAAATGGTTGTCACTGTTACCCCCAGAATATTATCGCCAAATGGTTTTCAAGATTTTGAGGGCAGGTATGTTTTGAAGGTGAGATTTGAGAAAGATGAATGAATGGTGATGGAGGTGTGTGCTTTCATAAATCATAATTCATGATGTAGTGAGTGTGTAAGCTAATTGTGAGACGAGGTGTTCCAAAATTATTGATGTCTTTTTCAATAATTTCATTTGAGATTATTATTGTAATAAAAAAATTAAAAACTAAAAAGTGAAAAATAATTAATAGGGCGGTAATTGTAACACTAAATAAATAAATAAATGAATAAAATAATACTAGATTACAGAATTTCCCATTTTACCTTGGCCTTATTTGGCCAATGCTATTTTTTATTTTTTGGGTTAAAATTTACAAAAAGATAAAATAAATTAAAATAGATAATAAGACAAAATATCACATTAAACTCATAATAATTTTACTTTTTTATCTCTCAAATATCATATCAAAATATAAAAAAATTCAATCATCATTCTAAATACAAAAATTTTAAACCACCGAGGCCTTGTTTGGAAAGTTGGCTATTTTTTAGCAGGCTATTTTAATTTTTGACTATTTTAGTAAGTTAAAATTTTTGTGATCAAGAAGATGGTTGAATTTTTTTATAGTTAAATGTGATGTTTATGAGAAAAAAATAAAATGATTATGAATTTAATGTGACATTTTATTTTATTAACTATTTTAATATATTTCATATTTTTATAAATTTTAACCTAAAAATTCAAATTTTAATATCTGCCAAACAAAGGTCCTGTTTGGTAGAACTGTGGGAAAGTGATTATGTGCCGTTTTGGCAACACACAAAAAACTCAGCTTTTTGTGTGTGTTGCCAAAAACGCCAGGTTGTCCAAAACGCCCCAAATCCCATTTGGGAAGACCAAAAACGCAACACCCAAATTTACCAAACTACCCTCTAGAAAATTTTAATTAATTAATTCAAAAATCAAAAAGTAAGGATATTTTAGTCATTTTGGAGTGATGTGACACTTTTAAAAAATATTAAACCAAAAATAAAAAAAGTCAGTTTTTTACCAACTTTCCAAATCATTTCCAAAAAAGTCAAAAAGCTTGATAAAAAGTCAAAAGCCAGCTTTTTACCAACTTCCCAAAACACCCCTATGGCCCTATTTGGTAGAGCTTATTTCCAGCTTATTTCAGATTTTAGCTTAATTTAAGCTATTTTGATGTGTTTGATTTAGCTTAACAATACAACTTATAGCTTTTTGTAAGTCAAAAATAAACTTATTATTTGGGGGAGGAAAAGTTTAATTTATAAGTAAAAAATCAGCTTATATTCATAGTTATAAGTTATAAGCTGTTAAAGTATAAGGTATAATCACTTTCCCACAGCTCTATCAAACGGGGCCTATAACTTATTAGTCTAACAGCATATAACTTATAACTGTGAACATAAACTAATTTTTGACTTATAAATTAAGTTTCTTCTCCCCTACTCAAAGAATAAGTTAATTTTTGACTTACAAAAAGCTATAAACTATATTATTAAACTAAATCAAATACATCAAAATAACTTAAACTAAACTAAAAACTAAAATAAATTAAAAATAAGTCCTACCAAACCGAACCAAAATCTAAAATAACTAAAACTTAAAAGAATCTACTAAAATAACCAACTTCCCAGTCAACCAGAGAGTGTTTTTTGAAAAAGAGAGCGGGGGTTGGGTGGGTTTCAGTGTTTCTCTCTCATCGGTGTAGAGTTCACACTCTTTGCCAATTTCTCACTTTCTCGGCATCAATGGACGTTCCTAAGGACCAAATCTCTACACTTCTCGATCATGGCCTCTACACCTCTGCTCAATTCCTTGTAAGCCCTTTCTCTTTCCTCATTTCAGTGTAATCGAACCCAATTCGATTCTAATCAATTGCTCACTAGGGTTTTGGAATTATATCAATGTTTTGATCTGAATTCATGCTCTGAACAGGCTTGTTTTCTTGTTTCTTCGTCTACTGTCAATGCCGAGACCAGTCCACATGTCAAAGCCGAAAACTTGGTATGCGAGTCTCTCGATTCGTGTTCTTGTTTGGCATTCATTTGTCAAAACGTTGTTTGATTATCAGTTTGTTGTGTCTTGTTCCAGGTTCTCCTCGCCGATGCATTGTTTCGCGAACGAGAGTTTCGTAGGGCAATTGTAAGATCATATTATTAGTATGCATAAACATTTGTATATCTACATATATGCGTACTACATATCCAAAAACATCAATGTGGTCAGATTCATTATGTACATAAATCCCACAACGCACCAATTAAATTTCAAAAACTGTCTTGACAAAATTTATGGGTTAGTAGAGTTTTCCTATAAATATTTATAGAAAATGATTTGTAAATAGAAATTTTGGACAGAAAGCACAAGAAGAATGATGTGCCAATGATATTTTTGAAATGATGAGGGTAATGTGGGTGTTTTGATTGGAAATGAAGGAATCACAAGAAGCCACATCATTATGTATGACAATTTTGTATAAAAATTCTGTTTGTATATCATTACTCTTTCTAATATGGCAATTATGAACACCCATTTATGATTGTGTATGAATAAATAAATCACATCTAGTGATAATTTTTCCAGGGGCTTCAATTATTTTTAATTTTGATATTGGGTATTGTCGAAATAATTTATTGTTTGATACTGCTTGATTGGCTTTCAATATAGGTGCCCTTGTTATGAGTATTTCACTTGTTCGGACTTTGCAATAGTTTTATTTTTTGTTGAAAATTCAAAACGCATAACATTTGTAATCTAAGTTTGTATGACAGTTCTTCAGATGGACAAACCAAAGGGTAAAATTAATTTCAAAACACGATTTTATGTTGTTGGAAGATCATGAGCTCCAATTTATGTTTGTCATGTCACAGAATGGCTTGGCCATCTTCTGTTCCTTTTGAATGTTACTTACTATATGCCAACACTACTAGCTACTATTTTCTGCCCATTTAATTTATGATTCATCTCTTTCATCTGCTATACTTTTCCACTGCTACGGTTTTTATTTTTATTTTTGATGCCCTCTCTCACCATCATCCACTCCTTCCTTGGGCAGAAGTGCCTTTTAAGTTGAAAAGAACATATTTCATTAAATACTGCTAATTTATCCCTCCCCTCTTTCCATGTGAACAAAGATATTCAAACATAGCATGTCATCATATCTTTTTGTATTGTGACAGCATACATACAAGCAAGCGCTACAACATTGCAAGATTGTTCCCAAACAAAGTACAATGACTAGAAATTCATTGCCTACGTCAAACAGGTCGTCTTCTCCAAATTCTTTTAATAATTTGGGGATTAATGAAAATGAGGTAGTTTGACATGCTCCCCTGCTTGTTCTTTTCCTTTTTTGACATATTTGGGTCATAACAAGTTTTGTTTATAAATCTTGTATATTCAAGGTTAGTCATTTCATAAACAATTTATTCTCACATCTTGGTGCAGGTGAAGTTCAAAATTGCATCTTGTCACTATTCACTGAATGAGAATAGAGCTGCTCTTGTTGAGGTTCCATCTCCATACTCTCTGTTTGCATTCGTGTTTCTTTAATCAATTTGTTAAGTCACTTTTGGTGAGGTTATATTTAAGTATATGAATGTGTAGTTTATGTATAAATTTTGCATTTTGTTGCTAATTGATATTCTCTGCCGTCCATTCCTTGCTCCCTTTATTTGGCAAATGTCATCATAATTTGGGGGATTTATTGTTATCAGGAAGACCTTAGATTACACTTTTCATCCAGTAGCTAAGGAACTTGCTGTATTGTTTGTCACTTTTGTGTAAATGTTCATGTTATCCATGTAATGTTACAATTACATTGTATGTTCTAGGACGAGTGTTCTGAGCAACTTGGGTTTACAATTTAACTTGGACGTGGTTTTATTCATTTTTAGTTTCTTTCATTTTAAGAATATAAGAATATGCTTTACTCCTTTATTTTACAGATGGAGGGAATTCCTAACAAAGCAAGAAATCTGCAAATGAATCTAATGATGGGCAAGCTTTATCGAAATTCGAGACACACTCGTTCTTCCATTGCTTGTTACAAAGAGTGTTTGAGGTTTGCCATGTTGGATTTCTTAATGCCAATTTTCATTCCAAGGATAACAATTTAAATTTGATTATTATATCATTTTGTGTATGCTTCTTTTATTCAGTTCTCTTTTTAGCAATAACATAAGAATTTTTTGGGTGCTTTTTGTGAGTCTCACTTGAAATCTGAACACATCTAGCATCATAAAGCTTCGTGCTTGCACTTATATAGATATTTCTTGATTGGATGATTGGTGTGTCCTTTGAAAAAAAGGCACGAGTGTCTATTTTTGTCTATAGTTACGTAGTTATCTTATATTTCAACATCTTGATCATTCCCATTGTTTTTGACTTATTAATTACAGTGGTTTATTGAATTGTTTTTAGTTTACCTAACCCCATTCATCAATGAGCAGGTGTCTTTCACCTGTTAAAAATAAAATTCTAGAAATCCAGCAAAGCTTTTGAGTCCTGGCATTTCTGTGACCGTGCAACTCTTTATTTACTACATAAAGTTGGGCAGTGCATTTTTTATTATTATAAGTAAATGTAACTATGAAAGACGGCGAAGGACCACAACCATCTACACACAGAGTATACACCAACAAAAATGCAAAGCAAAACAAAACAAGACAAAGCCCTATATATCAACAAGCATGTACAAATCACCAAAAATAAAAAATAAAATCCACAGAATAGTATAAAGAAAGGGGCAGCCCCCTTGAGGCAAAAATACAGTTGTGCGAGCACTGATCCTTTCAAGGAATTAATGGAATTCTCCCTCCCTTCAAATGATCTACAATTGCACCACAAAACGCACAACGGAGCTACCTACCAAGCCTTCCAACTAACCCGACTCGGGCAACCCCTATGCCAAGAAACAAAGAGGTTCTTTACCCACCCAGCATAACCCAAGTGACACCAAAGACAGAGAATTAAGCTCCAATTATCTGAGGCCACTTTGCAATAAAGCAATAGATGATTGACTGGCTCCCCCGTCTCCTTATACATACAACACCAATCCAGTTGAAACTAATCTTCCTCAAATTTTCAATGATGAGAATGGCCGTAACAATTTTTTTCATTTTCTATGTCAAAATTTTGAATGATGAGAATGACTGTAACAATTTTTTCCATTTTCTATGTCAAAACCAAACCAACTTATAAGCCTTGTGTCTCAATCAAGTGGGGTCGGCTACATGAATCCTTTTTTTCCATTTCATTTTCTATGTCAAAGTATGTTAATTGTGTCTCATTCCTTCTTGCTTTTATTTTGTATGTAACTTTCTTTCTTTTCTTTTATTTTAAAATTTCATTTTATGTCTGGGGGCTGGTGGTTGAATATGATTACAGTCTTGATTGGGTCAGCCCATAAATAACAGTGCGGAATCAGTGAGTAACAGTGTAATTATTGACTGTGAATGCCTCATAGATTCACATCCAAGGACAGTTTCTGCTGTTACTACTACTATAATAACAACAATATCGACCATACTGCTAACACTGCTACTAAGATATTTAATTGTTCTTGTTGTTATCTTTTTATCATTTATGCATTGCTGGAAGATTTCAGTACTTTTATAGCATGCTCATTCTTTATTTGTTTTGTTTTTGACAGACATTGCCCTTATGTTATTGAGGCTATCATGGCCTTGGCTGAACTAGGAGTTGCTTCGAAGGATATTATTTCATTATTTCCTCAGGTTTGTTGGTAAAATAAAAATCAGAGTGCTGCTCCATTGATTCAAAGTGTATGTAATATGATGTTCTAAGATTATTATTTTTCTGAGAAGTATTCATGTTTTGATATAAATTTAGCATATCATGCTTTATGAAGAATTTTTAATTATGCACTATGCCATTCCTTGGAAAAGATGAAAAGGGGACATAAAATAGTCCGTTTTGCTGATCTTTTCTTGTGCTAGACAAGTGGAGTAAAGGTTGAGGTTTAGTGGTTTACACTTGAATTTGATTAATTAAACGTATTTGTTTCGCTAAGCTATGATTTTAGTTTTAGTATTTCTTTCTAAATTTTTTGTATTACTTTCTATTTTTCTGGTGGATTGATGGTTTTACTCTTTTCAAAATGATTTGGTCAGGGTTTGCATCTCTCAGCCTTGATTATATAGGTTCAGCTTTTAGTCAAGCCATTTTTTGGCTGAATAGAACCATCTTAGCCTCTACTTGAACGCCCTTGAAATTGTCCTCCCTTGAAATTGTCCTCTTTTACTTTCCATGGAGTTCCTAACATTGAACTTGAACTGGTGGCTCATTTGTGGCATAACCTAACTATTGCACCTCCCAACTTGTAATGTCATCATTTAAGCATTTTCATTGTTGCAGATGATGTTTTATTTTTAAAAATAAAACTTTATTAGTTATAGTGGGTTTGGTAAATAATAACCATTGGTGTTCTTTTTTGTGTTGCAAGGAATATATTTTCAATCACTATAATAAACGGACTGGAGTTTTTTCTTATAGATTTTTCTCTGGTGTTAAAGAAATAACATTTTGCTATATTTTAGCTTGAACCTTTTCTGTTGTAAATATACTATCCTGTTAACTGCAGTTTATTTTTTTAATGTATCTTTCAGACACCAAATAGAAGTGGTAGACCTCCATTTGATCATTTTGACTCAAGTCGCTGGTTGCATGTAAGTACAATGTGTGATAGATGAGATTTTGTCTTCATATTTTATATGTTGTACTAGACTATACTACCAATTTTTTTTCTACATTAACATTACTTGTCCTGTTTGAGCATATAACTTTTTCCCTTGTCTAATTAGCTTGCTTCAATGGTTCTGAATCAGCCAATCATAGCATTGTCCTTAGGTTCAGTTCAGAACCTCCTACTTTTTTGACTAATTCATTCCTTCATTTCTTTTTTACTTTTAAGTTAAGATTTAATAATAGCATTTGATCTGAAATGACTTTGGACCTTTTCTATTGGTGGATTTGGTGCTCAGTCTAAGATTCTTGAGGTGAGGCTAAGGTCTAGTCTAGGGATGGCAATGGTGTGAATTCCAGATGGGGCATCCCTATCCTGACCCTAGCATGCCATAGAATACACCAACATCGACTTGCACGACTTTGTCCCAAACCTAACGTCAGTTAAGGCCAAGTTTGGCATCCTCAAAAAAATCTAAAAAGTTAAAAAGTCACTATCCTATTTAAGTCACATCATCTTATTTAAGTCACATCACCTCTCTATCACATCATTTCATACCAAACCCATATTTCATAAAAAGTCAAAAAGTGCACTTATTTAGGACACCCCAAACAACCCTTAAGTCTTATGAACTTGTTTCTAAGGCCCAACATCCCCTGGTGGGGTTGTCTTTTCTCTCTTTGTTTTCTTTTTGTTGTGCTCAGGATGCTGTTCTCTGCTTCATCAATACCTTTGATCATTTGTTCTTTCTGTGCAGCGTTATGTTGAGGCCCAGTGTTGCATTGTTTCAAATGATTACAAAGGTAGAATAAGTTCTTTTTTTTGGTTTGATCATTTTTTTTGGGGGAGGGGGTGTTATTTTTTTAACATTGTACTTTTGATGCTAGTATGCTTTGCAGCCACTGTTGTCTATACATCTTCCTTTTAGAGATCCCTTCTTTTATGTTGGTGGACACAATGCACATGCATTCATATGCACACTGCTTCAACGGATCATGCTAATGTCAGGCATTGCATGCAGTCCATAAAAGACACCACATGAGATATTTGAATACCGTTACATTTATATTTTAGAAAACATATGAGCTTATCCTTCGAAAAGTAGAGATATGTGGTCTCTGTCCGTACATGCAATTTACATAATCTTAGTGTTGAACTTTTTGCTTTGTGGTCCATGATCACTTAATGCTTTAAACTGTTCTTGCTTGCAGAAGATTACCTCTAGTTGTTTGAAAGGCTTTAAGCTGTGTGAACCAGAAGTAAAGAGGGAAATAGAGAAAATATAAATGGCACTTTTACTGTTGAATAATATCTAGCTATGACACTCACAATCATGAACGCAATTACCTGGTGTCCTGTAAAATACAAAATATATAAAGATTGATAACAGCCATTACTTGTCATAGCTTAATGAATAGTTTCAGGGTTATGATGCATGGCTGTACTTTCCATGGCATTGGTTCTTGATTCTGAATGTTTGGTTGCACCTTCAGTTTGAGTAGATTATACATGAAAATTGATTTTTTGGGGGGATCTTTACAGCATTTTTTTGATTGGCAGGTGGTTTGGAACTCTTCACAGAACTTCTACAACGTTTTCCTAACAACATACACATATTACTTGAAATGGCAAAGGTAAGCATTTCAGTGAAGCTAAGCTTGTTATGTTTGCCAAAGAAGTTTAGACTTTGCTAGCATTTTGTACTCAGCTGAGTGCAAACTTAGTGACTTTCATTTTGTACTAAAATATGTAGGCCACTTCTATCTACATTTGGTGCGTCCAACACTTGTTGGCATGAAAGCCAATGTCAAACACTTGCTTAGGCAATTTTAAAGTGTGGATACTAATTCTTTTTGCAAGTTGAAAGAAACTTTGAGTACTAGAGTGTTATTCCTTTTATACTACAGAGTTATCATTTTACTGTTCTGTGCCTGGATTTATTGGAGATGCATTTGGACTCTTAAATCTGTTGTTTGATTACAAATCTAGTATTTTTTAAAGACCAATAAAGGAGTGAAGCCAATAAAAAATTTTAGTGATAAAATAATTGTATAAGAGAATCAGAGATTTCGATCTGCCAATGATCCTCTTATTGACATGAAGATGTCAATTTATGTTCAATTGAAAGCAAAATTCTTTGCATTTAATAGGTTGCTTTGGCTTAACTGATGGATGTCGTTCTATTTTTTTGTTCAACTTACACATAAATCATAATGTGAAGGTTGAAGCCATTATTGGAAAAAGAAGTGCAGCCATCACGAATTTTGAAAAGGTAACTGTTCATTAATTATATTGACGCAACGAATCATTATTTTGGGAGATGAAATTTATTGATTCTTTGCAGGTTCGATCAATCGATCCATACATCGTCACTTACATGGATGAGTATGCAATGCTTTTAAAGATAAAATCTGAGCATTCAAAACTGCACAAGTTAGTGCACGACTTGCTGAATACTGATCCTACAAGGCCAGAAGCTTTTGTGGCGTTGTCTGTTTTATGGGAGAGGAAAGATGAGAGGGGAGCTTTATCTTATGCTGAGAAGGTTAGGTTTATTACTTTCAATCAGATCAGAGAGTCCCTTCTTGTGAATATATCTCACCATTTCATTATTTCTGCAACCAGAGCATTCGAATTGACGAGAGGCACATACCAGGTTATATAATGAAGGTACTATGAATTCTGATCTGTAACTGAACTGGGATCTGCCATCTGGCATATATTGGTAAAAGTATCAGCATGGAAAATTCTCTGAGGACTTCAATATAAATGATGTATATTTCAATTTGTTAAAAGTTCTTGTAACCTTTCAGGGCAACTTGTTCTTATCAATGAATCAGCCACAAGCAGCTGTAGTTGCTTTCAGGGGAGCTCAAGAATTGAGACCTGATCTTCGTTCTTATCAAGGTTAGTTTTTAGACAACCAAGCCACATAATTAATCAGTTATTTTGATGTGCATTTTATTTGAGTGAAATACATTTCAACAAGAAACGGAGGAGCCTGGTGTGATCAGAAACTCTTGTCTCCTTCCAGGTTTGGTTCATTCTTATTTGGCACTTTCAAAAATTAAAGAGGCACTTCATGCTGCAAGGGAGGCAATGAAGGCCATGCCTCAATCAGCAAAAGCTTTAAAATTAGTTGGCGATGTGCATGCTAGCAACTCTGGTGGAAGAGAGAAGGTAAGCTTGTTATGTATCACTAATTTAGCATTGTGTAATGTTAGCTAATAAATCTCACCTTTAACTGTTTTATCTGACCCGGGCTGTAGTTTAAGTGGTCTTGAGAGAGCTCTTAGGTGTCAGTATGAGGTCTCAGGTTCAAGTCTATGGAGATGCTTCGGCTTGTGTAGTAATCTAACTACTAACTTGCTAACATCATAAAACTATGTTCTGTTGTTTGTCAAACTTTGAGAAGGTTTTGTGCAACCAAGAACATGGTGTATAAATGTAATTTTTTTTTTTGGTTTGGTTTGTGATAGAGATTATTGCTAGTGCTGTAATATAATCAGTAATGTGAAAAAGATTGCTAGTTCCATAAATAAATTTATATGAACTTGTTACTACTATTTCAAAAGTTGGTTGACATCTATCTTTCTTTTGTAGTGGAATTCTACAATGTTGGTTTTTAGTTTACAGTGACGTGAATTTTCATCTGAACTTTAATCAGGCAAAAAAGTTCTATGAGTCAGCTCTCAGGCTGGAACCGGGTTACCTTGGAGCTGCATCGGCACTGGCTGAGCTCCATGTCATTGAGGGCCGAAATGGAGATGCTGTATCTCTCCTCGAGCGATATCTCAAAGATTGGGCCGATGATTCTCTTCACATTAAGCTGGCTCAAGTATTTGCTGCTACAAATATGCTGCAAGATGCCTTGTCACATTACCAGGCTGCACTAAGGTTATTCTTCTATATTGGTTGAGATATTACAGTCTAATGTTGAATTATGGCCATGATATGAACGTCTTTTCTTTTTAAAGTTTAAGTTCCGTGCCCTCTTGTCGTTCATGCACATCTTTCTAATTTAAATGTGTACTTCAGGATAAATCCACAGAATGAAGCAGCGAAAAAAGGATTAGAACGCTTGGAGAAACAGATGAAGGTTGGTCTTAATGTTTTTATGCTTCGTAATAGGCAGATGGTTCATGGATATACACTCTCCCTTTCTCTAATTTGTGCCTTTTGACCTACCTCCACAGAACATAACATAATGGGCAATTGTTTTTGTTTCCAGAAGATAGCAACAATTTTCAACATTTGAGGACTAGAAAAACAAGGTGTTTTGCTTGCTTTCAAAACAAGTTTTCATTCCTTCCTCTTCCACCCCTCCGGCCTCTCCCAGACTCTAACCAGGACCTCTGATCACCTTCTAACTCTGACCACTACCACTGGCCTAAGAAGTACGAACACGGACATGCCAATACAAAAAATTAAGACTTGAGATGACATGCAAGGGATACATGTGAAATATAGAATCATATATTTATTATGTGTCATATATAAGGATAAATAATTATTATATATCAACATATATGAATATTTAACTCAGTAATTTTAAAAGTCCAATGAGGAGAATAGATATAAATTTACATGTTTTTGTTTTATCATTGGATTTCAAATTGTTTTATTCAAACTTGTAATGTGTTTCTTGTGTGTCTAAGGGTTGGAAAGTATATGACGAGTGGAGTGGAGTGTCGGCGTTGGACACAATATATTATCTTCGAAGTGTTTGTGATTCTTAGCCTTGTGTTGAAGAAAACAAGAAATTGGCAATCATTACTAAAAACGACCTTTTGTTTTTGTTTGGCTGAGTTATTTTCTCCAAAATGCAGTAATCGTGATTGGTAAATACAGGATTGGTGAAAATGTTAGAATGCAGTCGGAATGTTTACTTTGAATGTGTAATGGGATTAACCTAAAGTGGTGGTTTTCTGTAGGGAGTGGATCCAGATGCTCCTGAAGAAGATGAAGAAAATGAGGTTGAGGATGCGGATGGCGACCAGATAGAGACCGAGCTTCTATGATCAACAGCTGCAACATCTTTTCTCTGGCAATTTTTTTTTTGGGTGCAAGGACTGCCATGGCGTTTGGCATATTTCCTGGCAGATTGCTCTTTAAAGCTGAAAAAAAGAGGAAGCGTTGTTAACAATCTTGTTTGAGATGGTGCAACTATGCATCATATGTGAGCACGTACAGTTCTTTTCTTTTGATTGTTCAAGGATCAGAGGAGCAAATAAATTTCAGGCCTCACCTGCAAGGTTGCTGCTTCGGTGGAAACAAATTAACTTGGCATCATTGTCTCAACTCCTAGAGAAATTGTCACAAGTGATTGAAACCCTTTCCCAATGTTGTAGAATTTGGCACCAGAATTGTTTTATTCCTTCCGAGTTGAAATTCAAAGCAGAATATGTAATCTTTCATATGTAGATTTGTTCACCCATGAAGGGAACTTACAGGTGCAACAGGGGGAGGGGGGAAGATTGTACTTTTTTTTGCAAATTTTCAGCTTTCTTTTCCATTGCCAATAGTTAGATTGTGTTTAGATCATGAATTTGGATAGGGATTTAGAAAAGGAAATGAAAAATGTGGGTGAAATATAATTGAAATATAGTTACATATTACTTATATTTCATTCAATTCTCCCTTTTTTTCATTTCAAATCTCTATTCAAATTCATTATCTAAACGTGGTTTCAATATTCTTGTTCAGCAATTGTTTCTCTCTTATCTCTTTCCACCGACAAATATCTGAGGCTGCATCCAGATATATAGACAGCTGTAAATACGGAGATTCGGAATTTAAAATTTGAATTCCCGCCCATTACTGTTCATTCACGCGGAATTTTGTGCACCTTTGCTTTATATCCAAGCAAAACCACCACGATCATGACGCGTGGGTGGACAGGAGATGGCCACGTCTACTCACACCAAATAGTGATTACTATTTGGTGTGAGTACGGATTTAATCTCCGCTTTACATGTCACCATCCGTACGTCCATCAACGGATGAAATTGCCTAACGGGTACAATTTCAACAGGGGGCGCTAGTAATAAAACCACCACGATTGTGACGCGTGGGTGGACAGGAGATGGCCACGTCTACTCATACCAAGCCCCGGCTACTCACACCAAATAGTGATTACTATTTGGTGTGAGTACGGATTTAATCTCCGCTTTACATGTCACCATCCGTACGTCCATCAACGGATGAAATTGCCTAACGGGTACAATTTCAACAGGGGGCGCTAGTAATATTATATATAGTGCCCTCCCAGCTGGTGGTGTTTTAAAGCAAACATCTAGTTGAAAGTTGTTGATTAGAAATCTGAAAGTAAGAATACTCATTCCCAACCTCTAGATGGTCGGTTTTTTGTTTTTTTTTCATATTATTTAAGTTATTTCTATCTCAAAAGTTATAAACAAATATTGTGTCCAATATTTTGACATGAATTTTCAAATTTTAAAAAAGAAAAAATTATGAATAGTTTCAATAAGATCACCAAATAGAGCCTGCGTGCATGGCATTAGATGAGCCATACCAGGTGATGGTCTCTGCTAACTCATCTTTTATGGCACTGCTAGTTTTAATGATGAAAACTTAAGCTCATTTTGAAGCTTTTTAACTGGCATTGGCATATTAGGGTTTTGAGGAAGTTCATGTCATGACAGTTTAGTCATCTCTAGTCGATGATATAATGCTGCTGGGGAAGCAGGGACTCCAGTTCATAAATCTCCAACCTTGATGAAGATCATCGCTAAAAGAAATATAATTTTTTGCGACTGAATTTTCATTACAAAACAACACTTTTCATTGCAGAAACTAATGTTCATTTCTCCATAACACAATTGTGATAAAAATGATATATATATCTAGCAGATAAAATTGATACTCCCTAAATGTGTACATTACAACTTCATTGAAATCTAGAGATTTATGATACATAGAATAATTGGTTTTACAGCAATATATATGTGTGTATAACTAGCTTCATTGGCATCAATTCTCCATGCTAGACATGGAAAGGTTTCCTTGGACTCGGTGCTCGGTTCTGCAGAGATGGCAATGTTTAGTCTGAGATGGAAAACTTTGACCTGTAAATCAATGGGACCAGAGCATAAGCCAACAATTGTATGATTAATGGTAAACAGTCTTCACAGTTTTCACAGTAACACTTAAAACTTGCAGTCTTAAGAACTTGGGAGTAGTTTGATTTAGTGGTTATCTAAATCAGGTCCTCATATGAATCCAATCATCATTCCTTAAAAAAAGGAGAAAAATAAAAATAAAAAATCATCATGATTGGGAATTAAACAAAAAAATCCTTATTTCATTAGCAGCAGCCCAAATGGTTTGAGGCCCCAGGCTGAACATCAAAATGAGGCTTTAGGCCCTAAGCATTGGATAATTGGGGCCTTTGGCAAGAACGGATTTATTTATTTTTTTGATAACTCGGTATCCGGCCCACTGGGCCAACTAATTATGAAAATATATGGTTGGTTTGTACAAAATTCTCTAACCTTATCTTGTTTCCAAGTTAAGTTTCGAACCACCATGTCATGTTTAGAATCATGGTTTAAACAGTTGAAATGAAGATCTATAAAACTGCCTGTGATAATATGTCCCGTAGTTGATTGCTCTTTCCCTCTCTCCTACAAACTTACTCCTCTACTTGAATGCAACTAATACAACAAATGTATTTTAATCATATGACATATCTTCCAACGCATGAAGCAAGAATACCATTGCGTTTTCCAGTCCTGTCATTGAAAGAAAAGCAAAATTATATCAGTCAAACCAAACATTAATAAATGGAAATGAACTCATTCTTTGGTAGTAGCTCACCTCACAGAGTATTCTGCTATACTTGATGAATAGAAGCTAATGTGCAAGTCGTGACCAATTATCATAATAGATCTCTTCAAGCTCGATGTTTATGTGCTTTACAAATCCATCAATACTTATCCAAACTACTTCGAGAAAAGTTCACTTTTTTTACTTTACCCCGGGTAAATACTTAAGGCAGTGCATCAGTTCTGCAATTTTCCATGAATTTCACGCATCAACAATTTGGAGTCATCAACGACACGTCTACTTTCACATACAAGGAAATGACATAATTCGTGCCGAGGTGCTGGCCTCAGTGATCTTAACTGAATAAGGGGATTTGTGATAACAGATTTACTACACAACTCTTTTGCCGGCAGGACATGCTTCAACCAGAAATCAGATAGAGCTATTTTCATGGTGTCCCAATATTCTACATCTCGATATAACCTAAATAAACTGCTCCCCTTAGGGGTCCAAACATAAAAATCCATCCAATCCCGATCCATAATTTCCATCAAACCTTGAGCTTGTGGAATACAATAAAGGGGTATTCGTGACCACGGGGAAGCCTTGCTCATATCACCACCAAAAAATGGGCATTTTATTTCAAGAACTCCACGGGAAGGCAGTCCATAAACAAGCTTGTCAACAACTCCATCTGGTGAAGCTGCAATCCAGTCATCATCTGGGTTATTATTATCCCCATAGACCTGAAATTCAGGAAATAAAACGGAATTCCCTGTTATCAACTTGTACCTTTCAAGTGCTTCCTCTTCTTTGATGTTGCTCCAACAGGTAGCAAGGTTACCCATGAATGGCTCAACTGCCCCAAGCTTTTCCAACCAAAGTTGGACTCTTCGTCGAGGCCAAAATCCAACTGCTCCCCCAAAAGTGCTTGCTGTCAGCTTATGTTTCCTAAGTTCTTGCCAGTTTTTGAACCAGTGTTGAAGACCACTTGATTGAAGAACGGAATAAGTTTCAGGACGATAAATTTTGGGCATAGGACCAGCACAATTGCAAAATTGTCCATTGGCAGTAAGAGTTTTACTTCTTGATTCTGAAAAATCCTGGCTGCTGTATTTTCTTCTGTTTATATAACCGAAAGCAGAAGATCCTATCTTAAGCCCATTCCCGTCTTTGAGATGTGACAAACAGCTGACCACAGTGGATGGGAAATGCAAAAGTTTCACTGCTCAAGAAAAACAGGCATCAAAATGTAGTCTACTAATTTATAAGAGATGCTTTTCAGACATGTAAAATAATACAAGCTTGCAAAAGGGAAAAAAGTATTTGAACTGCTATGTGAACTTACGTTGATTTTTTAAACAAAAACAGATTCGAGTATCTGAAGCATTTTAAAGTGGCAGGCACATGCACATGCACATGCACATACACAAACATTACTTTCTAATGATCTTTGTGCAGATGAGTTTCCAAAAACATTTACACAGATGCGTGTAAGCATGTATCAATCTTTGGGTAATATATGTACTAAGAAGCATCGATATGAATACTGGACACATATATGGACATGACGACATGGTAATTTCCAAAACAATCAGGACACAACATGTTAGGAACATGACAATGAGTATAATATACATAATATTATACATTTTTATATGTATAAATAAAAATAATTATTATTTCTTCATTTTTTACATTACAAATACATTTATGATTTATTATATCAAAATAGAAAGAAATCACTTTCCACATTCTACATATTCGAAAAGCAGAGTGAACAAAACGTTCCTAATATATTTTATCAAAACTATATTTATTAACAAATCGAAAGTTTTACGCTTTAATTGATGTAAATCCACTTAATTTTTTGTTTTAGTATTGGATCCTAAGTTATTTTCTTCAAACTTACAATGCATCCCCCAAGAATCTGAAGCATGTCCTGATCTAAGAAAATTTTAAAAATAATGAAACACATTTAACTTGTGTCAAGGAGCGTCTGATGAGTGTCGATGTTTGTTGTGTTGGACACGGACACGGAACATTCTTAGAATTGTCGGTGCTTCATAGGTAGGTATGTATATAAATGCAAGTGTTAAGGACATCATCCTTATTGGTGGCCTTCAGAAATATGAATTGTGTTATGTAAGTCAGTAGAAGATCAATTAATAGACATTTTCCCAATATTGTAGGCAGCCAGACACTAAACGTACCATAAGAGAAACACCATGATATTAATTCTCAATCCATAGGAAGAAAGAACAAAAGAAAGACATTTCTTGGAATCAAAGTAAAGAGGAACTCATTGCAACATCTAGTAAGTAGCATGCAACAAAATTGGAGTAGGCTGGAATAGAACTAAAGTAAAAGCCTCTGCTGAGAAATCAAAGAACAAAGCAAAGAAAAAGAAAAGAACATCTGTGAGGTTTTCTTTTGCCTTTTGACCCTCCACATGCCTACTAAACATGGTTATACATTTGCCATAAAAACAACAAAAGTCATGCAAAATGATGTACTCCATCCTATTCCTCAATAATTTGATCACTTTGTCAAATTATATATCAATAATTGTTATAAAAAAAAAAACTAAAATCCTAATTTTTTTATTTATATATTTCTAACGTTTTTCTCTATTTTCTAAAATAAACAAATCACAAATACACAAAATCACAATTTCACAATATAACTTGCAATATAGAATTAAAAGATCATTTAGAATTATGCTCTATTTGATTCACCAAAATGATATGGAATGAAATTGTCATTCCATAAGCTCTCCTATGGAATGATTATTCGCTTACAATTGGTAAATGATGATTTTATTCACAATGTATTTTTCATTCCTTTTTTTAGCCAACCAAACATGGGAAGGGAATGTATATATTTTGATGGAATGATCATTCCAGTGAACCAAACACTACCTTAGGGTTATGTTTTCCAATATTTGCACACTGCTAAACTCTTGATATCTCTTTGCTCCCCCTTCTTATTTCCCAAATTTTTACCAACTATTTGCAGCACTCTATTAGTTTCTTGTCAACCCAATCAACATTAATGCACCAACTGACTTCAAACACCAAAACATTTCTGTCTAATTCAATTTTGAGTTGAACCCTATGAGAACATCATATTCTCAACTCAGAAGTATATCTATTCCAACCACCTGAGAAATTTAAAATTCTCAGCTCAAATGTGTCCTAGTCAAACACAAACCAATAAAATAAACCTGAATTACATTGATTCATAGAAATAGATTGAAAATTCTCGAGAAAGAGAAAGAACGAAATGAAATGGGGTTTTGAGAATGTGAATATATATATATATATATACCTGAACGAAGTTGAAGTTGAAGTTGACGATGACGCCTCAGAGAAGAGTCAGCAGAAGCACCATTGCTGCGATTGGCATTGTTTCGAAGCTTCCAAGAATGGGTTTTGAGCATGTAGAGAGAGGTTCGATTGGAGGGGTCGCCGGAGCCGGAGAACTTCGCCGGAGAAGAAGCTGTGAAAGCTGGATTGAAGATGGCTGGCGGTGGCTGATACAGCGAATGGGTTTTGAGCCTTAAACCCTAAACCCTTTAATTTCACTTTTTATTACATTTTATCTTCTTAAATATTACTATCATTTTTTTAATTATATTTCAAAATAACTTAAATATATCAAAATTTCAATTAACTAGAAGCAGGAGAGAGACATTTTTAACTTTTGATTTTTTATTATCAGCTTTCAGTTTGAGAAAAATTATACCACATAGACTTAAAGTTTTCAAATTTATTTATTTATTACAAGTTGAAAAAAATTTGGTCAAATTACTAATCCATCTAACAAATTTTGAATGAGGTTTTAAACATATAAGTTTGAAAATCGTACTTTTTGTTGTTAAAGAACTATTGAAAAAACGATGCATTTGTTGTAAAAATCAATATGAATGGGGAGCTGTGAGTTTTTATTTTTTTTATTATATTAGATAGGAGAGAATTGACCCTGTTTGGTATAGCTTAATTTCAGCTTATTTCAGCTTTCAGCTTAATTTAAGCTATTTTGATGTGTTTGGTTTAGCTTATAGCTTATAGCTTATAGCTTTGTGGAAGTCAGAAAACAGCTTATTCTTTAAGTGGGGCAGGAGATGCTTTAAGAATAAGCTGGAAATCAGTTTAAGCTGAAAGTTATAAGCTATAAGCTGTTTAGGCATAAGCTATAAGCACTTTCCCACAGCTCTACCAAACAGGGCCATTGTGGGTTAATCGGGTTGGATTGTAAGCATAAAAGTAGAAAAGTAGGTTAACAGTTCAAGGCTTAGTCTCGGGTAATTCTATTTGCACACTACATTTTGTGTCAATACATCCCTCCATTTGACATAAGCTAAATTAGATTTTTTTTGGGAGTTAAAATAATTACAAAAAGATAAAATATATTTTTTAGTCCAATAAGACAAATTGTCACATCCAAACCATAATTATTTTATTTTTTCTAGTACAAAGGTAAAAAAAGCCAAAAAATCTATCCCAAATAAGATTTTTTAGTACCAGGTTAAAATAACTAAAATGTCAAAAATTTAACCCATATCGCAAATGAACCCTCGTATTTATGTCGTTTGGATATCAATTTCTGCACAAAATGCAAATGTTCAGTTATCATTACGAACAAAATATAAATGTTCGGATATTAACTATCGAATGTAATTTTTGTTCAAACAATTGATTTTTGTTCAAAAATTAATATTCGAATAATACAAATAATGTGTATTAAGATAGCCGATACCCTAGTCCCAAATGCAAATAAGCCTAGTTAAATAATTTTTTATTAAGGCATTTGGGCTGCATTCAAGCCCATGCAATGGATCTGGGCTTGATTAGGGCCTAGTTGGGGAATGGGCATTGTGTGCAATGTCCCACTATCCAACAAGTTTGTTAGTCTTGGTAATTTTTTTTTAGGGTAAATTACAAACACACTTCCCTGAGACTTACTTAAATTATAAATTACATATTGTAATTTTAAAAATTATATTATGCTCCCTAAAGTTTCTAATTTCATAACAAATAGGTCCTTTTATTAATAAATCATCAAGTTAATTAACAGCTTTTAATAATGTTAAAATTTTATTTCAATTAATAATTCAGATAATTTTATTATTGTATAGGTGAACAGTTAGAAATTTTACTTTTTCAATTAATTTTGTTAAATAAAAAATTCTGATAAGAAGGTATTTGTAATTTTTTAAATTATAAGGAACAATTTATATTTTAAGCAAAGTTCAAAAGGTGTATTTATAATTTATCCCTTTTTAATATGATAAATTTGTATCAATTCATTTCAAAGTAGAAGACTGGTGAAAGTGGCATATCATTCTAATAGAATTTTTTCTATAAAGTTTCTATTTACAAATTATTTTCCTTTTATTTTTTTTATTGTATAACTTTTAAATTGCTCGTCTGTTTCATTAAGTATAAGAAAAAGTTAAATCTATCTATGGTAATATTTATGTTTTCTATTTTAATATTTAAAAAATGAAAACTGTACATAAAAACATGTTTGACTACTACTTTAAATTCAAAAAATATGAATGTTTTCAAATTTGTATGTCCACTAGTTTTGAAAATGAATTTTCGTTGCCTCTTTCACCTTCCTTCGGTCACCACTTCTAACCACCCTCACTTGTCAGCCACCACTTTTGGCAACCCCCATACTCTGACCACCACTTGACCACCCTCACCTATCTGCCACTACCTCTAGCAACCCTCACCCTCCAAACACCTTCATATACTCAACACATATTCATATCATGCAAAGCAACATTGTTGAATTAAACATGTGGGGGCGTATTTTGCGAATGACATCACGTGGCCAGGATGGTTCCGAAATATCGGCTAAAGTGCCACGTGGGTGAGTCATAGTTGCCGAGATGATCGTGGTATTGCCGAGGTTCAGTGTGGTAATACCGAGATTATAAGATATCTGGATAGAGGACAAGCCCTAGATAAGAAGAGGCTCTTGGTCTGGATAAAGATAAGGATCTTGAGAAGTTTACCCCTATCCAGCTGAGAGTCCGAGATGAGCACTGCGCTTGAATCCTGTGATGTAAGACTTCTAGAGGACTGGGCCACTGCTGGCTATAAAAGTGAGGCACCCCCGTGGGTCTAAGGTATGCTTTAATTGATGTATTGTGTACTTGTGAGAGATCTTTGAGAGACTGATTGACTGACTTGATCATCGGAGTGCCCTCGAGTGGACGAGCCACCACGATATTCTCATTTTCTTGTTGGTAGGTGGTTGGTTTCATCTATTCTGCCGTGTGCTCTTTAGCTAAGTGTCTTGTTTGGTTGTGTGGTCGAAAATCAACACCCACAATTTGGTGTAGCCTGTGGGAACTTAGCATAGAATAGATGACCAACAACGAGTAAGGAGAGAGGATCGGGGATGATCTTTACAGTAAGGAGGAGGAACATATAGGTCCTAATACTGAAGGAGGGAACAATAACGAAGAAGTACATGGGGTCGACCTTGGGACCAACAATGCCGGCAAGGGTTGAGGCATGAACAATAAGGGTAGTCGAGATGAATACTACCACAAAGGCGATCTCTAGGTATGGAAGGATAGATGCCTGAGAAGAGATTAAGAACTAAAAGACATGGCGAACAAGTTGACAAACCTGTAGACAGTAATCAACTTCATGATGCAAAACAACGTGATGCAGTCGACGTTTTCCTTACAGGACACTAGCTCCAGTAAGCAAGGCCGATGCCCAGAAAGAAGGACAGAAGACATTACCCATTGTCTCGCAGCATGCAAAAGGACATGGAAATTCACATTGGTAATTCCGAGATGTTGGACAGACAGAGTTTGTGTGAGAGTCACAGAGAACACCACTGACCAAAGGGACCTATGCCAGGGGATCTTAGCAGATCCAAGGGCAAGGCCTTTGTTTTGATGATGCAGTGGATGAAGGGAAGTCCAAGAGAATGCACAATTACATCGAAAGCAGCATGTCAGAAAGGCTAAAGTTGATTGATAGCCGAGCTCTCGAATGAACGAAGGAGGACATGAGAGACTACCTCCAAAGAAATAGGCACAACGCCAAGATCATATCCAACACCTAGCCAAAGACGCCATTCTGAGTGGAGTTGGATGCATTCGAGGCGCTGAAGAGGTTCAGCATGTCGATGTTTAAAGTTTATGATGGTAAGTCCGACCCGAACTTTCATGTTGACTTATATTTAAATTCAATGCTTTTGTGGAGTGGGAATGAGCAACTATTGTGCAAAGTATTGCCGTCGTTGTTTGGGGAAATAGCGTTAGATTGGTTCCACAAACTCCCGAAAGGAAGCGTGAAGAGTTGGGAAGGCTTGGCCGAGATATCGAAGACCCTGCCAAAAAACATGGAGGAACTAATGGCACGAATTGAAAAATACGCCAGAGCAGAGGAATATACGAAGGGGAATAAGACACTAAAACAAGAAAAGAGACATGGTTTGCCAAAGCGAGGCTGAGGGAATACCTACGTTGATAGATCAGATTTGGGGTTGAGATCCATGCAGATAGTAAGTACAGTCTTCAAGATCCTTGTCTACAAGGTCTTGCAGAGAATTAGGAACCAGCCATACTACAGGGCACCACAGAGGGTCCCGGGAAAGTTCATGGGCAGGAATCCTAGGAAGTGTTGTGCCTGCCATGAGGAAGACGGGCACATGACACAAGAGTGCTAGGCTCTAAAGTCGCACCTGGAAGATCTAGTCAGATAAGGACACCTGAGAGACCTGATCAACGAAGCAGAAACAAGAGAGGAGCATGCAAAGCTGGCCCAGGCGCCGGTAGCGCCGTCGCCACCACCACCACCGCAAGTAGAGGGGCCACGGGTAATCAATGTGATTCACTTGAAGGTCAATGAGAACGAAGTGCGAGAGGAGACTTAGAGGGTAAGACATTTGCAACATGTCCACCAGGTCCAATAGAAAAAACCTAGGATAAGTGGACTTCAAGGGCTAATGATATCGTTCACCGAAGAGGACCTGGACATGGTTCAACATCCCCACAATGATGCACTAGTGGTGACATTGAAGGTAGGAGATTTCCAAGTATGGCGTATATTGATTGATCAGGGAAACTCTTGTGACATCATATATGTTAAATGTTACAAGGAGCTTGGCCTCTATAAGGATAATCTAGAGCAATTTGACAGCCTTATGGTCGGATTCAATGGGACGCCGATGTGACCATTAGGAGCCATAAGTCTAGAGGTGCAGGCAAGGACCAAGAAGGTAATGACAGAATTTACTGTGATAGATGCTCCCTCCCCATACAATATCATTTTGGGAAGACATTGGCTGTATGCAATGAGGGTTGTTTCCTCAATGCTGCACTAACAGTTGCGATTCCTAACTGAACATGGGATTGAAGAAGTAAGGGGAGACCAAGTAAAAGCGAAAAATTGCTCCATGGTAGCAATCAAGTACACCTACAACGTAAGGGAAGTAGAGAATGCAGAGATTGAAAGTGAAGACTACGAGGTCTTGTGTAACAACCCCGACCCATGATTAACATTAACCCATGATTTCATATGTCCAATAAGTTAGTAAGGTCAAAATTTGAATTAATTACATGTGTGTTG